TTCTTCAGTGGACTTTAGCGGGGACAGTGGCTGACTAACAGGACATTTTGCCGGCCGGCAACTGATAACAGGCGTGGAAATCCTCTATTACCGTACACATCACGTACCTACACGGCAACTCGGCCGGGGGTCACGGTGAAGCTAGGACCAGCGAGAAGCGGAAGCACTAGAAGCACTCACCATCCCACCACCACAGTCCACGATAAGCTCCCCGTCAACCTTCAACCGCCTTCTACTTACCCTCCACTTCCACTGCCTGGTGACGCAATCACATGTATTTCAACTGCAACACGCGTCTCGACACACATCTACACCTATGAGAGTCGCCAACTACCCCAACTGATACGTCCCAATGCCTGTTGCCGGGGCCCGAGCCCTGCTGTCGGCGCAAACCTCATGTTGTCGCCGACTGCCCCGCGCCGTCTCCGCTGCCGCTTCCGCTTCCGGCTCCCTATCCCGTCGCCAGCATGCCAGCCACCAGTCCCTAAGAGGCTTCCGTACCTCTGCCGCCTCCCTCAAAAACGATTCCGACTCGAACTCGAACCCTGCCGACCATAAGAAGCCGGAAGACGAAGACAAAACAACACATGACAAGCCCGCTTCTACCACGACCACCACTTCGTCTGGCCAGGAGGAAGCTTCTGCCGACAAGAAGGATGCAGAATCAAAAGCGGCCGCCGATGCCTACAAGGAAGCCCTCGCGCTCAAGGGGACCCGGGGACGTCATCGGCCCGGCAGGATGGGCGCCGTCAACATCGAGAACAATGTTGCCCCGCAGGCCAGCAGCACCCCGAGCACGCCCTGGGTGAAGCTAGACCCATGGTTCATCGACCACAACGTGTCGCTGTACGAAGCCCGACCCATCGGCGCACCCCAGACCTTGCTTTTCCCGCTCGAAGACGTCGACCGCGAAGCCGTGCTGGAGCTGCTGGAGAAGAAGTTCTCCAAGGTCCAGGTGACAGAGGAGGACGTCAAGTCGTGGACAAGCATGTTGGACGAGCTGGTACGGCTGCCCGAGGAGGAGCGCGAGGCTGCCTTCGAGCAACTGCCCGAGTCCTCTAGCCAGCTGCTTAAGAAAGTGCATGCGGCACACAGCACCGCGTTCCTACAGGCGCTGGCTATCGTCCACCAGACGGGCGCGAACCCGGAGCATATCGAGTTGCTGCGCAAGCACCACTCTTCCAGAGAGGATGACATTGTTCGGTTGTTGTGGTGGTCGGATAAGCCGCTGTCCGGAGAGGCACAGCGCTGGCTGGCAAATCTTCGATGCGAAGCCCAACCTGGCTCTGGCGCGCTACACGGCAGCCCTTTGGCCAGCCGGCCGGATCCCGAGTATCCAGTCTGCATGGAGCTTCTGGCCGCTATACGTGCCGAGCTGGTGGCGGACGTGCCTCACGGTACTAAGCCGCCAGACTACCACCGGCTCACGACAGTTCTCTCGGTGGTGAACCGCAGGGGTCGCAGTGTGGCCAACCATGTCATTGATGACATTGCCACTGACCTCAAGGCGGACGTAATACATCTGGATGCGTTTAGCTTGGCCCGACTTCTGGGAACCCAGTTACAGCAGAACATCCATCACGCTCGGGGCTCGGTTTCCATGTTGGGATACGCCGCTTCCGAGATGAACGGAAGACTGGTTAACCGGGATGATGCTGACTCGGATGGCGATGTGGGTGTCCTGCATGTGTCGATGCCGTCCAAGCTGCGGTCCCTCCTCAGCTCCGGCAAGGACTTTGGAAGCTCGCGTTCTGTCGACCCACGCTGGGAAGGACTCAAGATACAAAATACGCTCAAGGCGATCGTGAGGGCGGCTGATGCCAAGCGGTTTGCCCAGACGGGTACTTATGAGAAGCGTGATCTGATCATCCATCTGCACGACTATGTAGAACTCAGTGAACTGCAAGAAAGTTTGATTACCAGGTTACGAGACATTGTCCATGACTGGCATTTTGAGGAGGCGGCGCACGACGGAAAGAAGATTGTGCTGGTAGGCTCTTCATCTAGTGACATGGACAAGTCGCAGCACTGGCGCAATCAGCTGGTCGAGCTCGGCCGTGAGGGCCACCACATCATCCCCTTCCACGCTTCCCCGTCTACCGAGTGGATGGACAGGAAGGACAACCTCTACGACAACATCAACAACATCAAGAGCATGCTGGAAGCAAGACTGCCCACCCCAGCCGCTATTGACTTTGATGCGCAAATCAAGTTTGAAGATGACCAGGTCCTTGTAGACGAAAGATACACCGATCTGTTCCAAACCTTGTCGAAACATGTGTTTGACGCCCAATGGGTGTACCGCTTAACCTCCCTCTTGCTGGGCAGTCGATCACCGCCTCCCAAGAAGTACGGTCTCGGCCACCTCAAGTACGCGCTCGCCTTCATGAGCGATCGCGACAACCACTGGAAGGGCATCTACTCGGGCATCCGTCCTCCTTACTTCTCCCCACTCTTCCGTCAAAAGGGTGGCGCAAGCAACATATTTGACCAACACATGCCAGAGGGCGGCGACTCACCCACTTCGGGCTTTTCTTCCTCGTGGGCCAGCCAAAGTCAAACCGCCAGCGACAACAAGGACTACGACCAGCATGAGAAGAAGCTTCTGGCCGGTCTCGTGAACGCCAAGGACATCCACACCACCTTTGACGACATCATCGTCCCCCCCGAAACCAAAGAGTCTCTCATCGGCCTCACCTCCCTCTCCCTCCAACGTCCCGACGCCTTTGCCTACGGCGTGCTCAAAACCGAGCGCATCCCCGGCTGCCTGCTCTACGGTCCCCCCGGCACCGGCAAGACCTTACTAGCAAAAGCAGTCGCCAAAGAATCCGGCGCCAACATGCTCGAGGTCTCCGCCGCCTCCATCAACGACATGTGGCTCGGCCAATCCGAGAAGAACGTGCGCGCCCTCTTTTCCTTGGCCCGCAAGCTCTCGCCCATGGTCATCTTCCTCGACGAGGCCGACGCGCTCCTAGGCGCCCGCCACAACAACCCCGGCCGCACCGCCCACCGCGAAACCATCACGCAGTTCTTGCGCGAGTGGGACGGCCTCTCTGACATGCGCGCCTTCATCATGGTAGCCACCAACCGGCCCTTTGACCTCGACGAGGCCGTGCTCCGTCGTCTCCCGCGGAAGATCCTCGTCGACTTGCCGCTTGTAGCCGAGCGCGCCAAGATTCTCAAAGTGATGCTTCGCGAGGAACAACTCGCTCCCGACGTGGACTTGGACGCGCTAGCAAAGGAAACTGATCTCTACTCTGGCTCGGACCTCAAGAACTTGTGTGTCTCGGCTGCGATGGAGGCAGTCAGGGAGGAGTGCCGAGCCAAGGAAGCGCATGATGCGGCGGCGGCTGCGGCGCATTCGGAGGAGAAGGAAAAGGAAGGCCGCCCGTCCGTCGCGTACGAGTTCCCGGAACGGAGAGTCCTGACGAGGAAACACTTTGAAAAGGGCATGCGGGAGATTAGTGCGAGTATCAGCGAGGATATGGAGAGCTTGAAGGCCATTCGCAAGTTTGATGAGCAGTATGGGGATGCCGGGGGCAAGGCGGCGAGAAGGAAGGCGAGGAGAGGGATTGGGTTTGAGGTGGCGGGTACGGGAAGGGGTGGGACGGAGGAGGCAAGGGTGAGGAAGGTGGTTGTTGATGAGGAGGAGGGAAAGAAAGGGGTGAAGGTTGCTGTTTAGATCAGAGGCTGGAGGAAGTGGTGATGGATTGTATAGTATAGTGTCACATCTTTGCGGAGTTTGGGTTACTACATACGTTACTTGTAGTATAGTAGGTAGTTCAGTTGTCAGCTTTCAAGTTGTTTTTTGTGGAAATGGTATGATATGCATGTCATGGCTATCTATGGCTGATGGTATATACCTCTAAGTACACCGGCAGTGGACATATATGATGGGTTTCTTATCTGTTTCGCATTCATTGTTCATAGGGCTTATTTGGCTCTTTCTCATAGATTGGCATGGGATTATGGAATGGAATAGAAAGCGTTTTTGTTCTCTCCAGCGTGACACGGTGACTGCCCGTGTGCCTGCTATAGAAGTGATACCTTAACAACAAGACTCCTGTCATGTTGAACGTGAGCACAACGGCATAAACAAGAATGATGGATTGGCCTCCTGGTGCCTCCGTGTTGAACACATTGAGAGGCGAGACAACCGCCACTCGCGGCTCATCAACAATAGCAATTTGGGCGAGCGATTTAGCACCCAGTGGTGTACATAGTCCGATCTGCTCGTTTTCAGCAATGCCTAGGTAGATACCATATAGCTCGTGACTCTTGCCATACTGTAGTGCTGATTTACGTTAGTATGCCGGAGCAACCAAAGCGAGGTATCGCAGGATGGCTGTTATTTGGACTATATATCTGCAAAATGTGGCATTTGTGTAGGTAGGTAGGTGGGTGGTCTTTCGAGTTTTTGTGAACTGGGTACCAAACCAACTTACCTCATCAACTTTATTTATAGCCGTACGAGCAATCTGGAATAAAAACAGCTGAGAGGCGACCGGTGGGTGATGTTGTGCATTTTGCAACGAACAGTGAAGTGAGGATCGTGGGATATTGAGCATATACCTACTACCGGTAGGTATCAGAGTTACCGTACTTTCCGCTTCAGTCATCGTCAGTTTTGATTCCGAATTCTATACGTAGCTAGGTTGACCAGGCACTCAATGCCACTAACTACCAAGTGAACGGTCGTACATTGCACGGAATCCATTCCGTCTTTTGGGTAGCTATCTAGGCACCTTGATCAAGTTCAGCAAATAATTCGTCGTTCAAAACCTCCTTCTAGCCAGTATGTATGTATGCGCTTTGTCTTCAATCCTACGTACCGGACTCCAGGCTGTATGCAAGGTAACAAGCAAACATGCATATATCCTAACCCTCCGTTTCATTGATCTTCCTTCCTTCTACCTCTGGGTATCTCTCCATCGACCTTGCAGTACTCCTTGTGAAAGTTTGCTGTAGCATCTTCTTCCCACTTCGACCTTAACATCATCGACTTTGGCTTCAACTTTGAGCTGCTGCCACTTCTAATGGCCCACTGCTTCGCACTTGAAGCACTTCCACTTTCGCTTCCTGACGAGTTGGAGCGCCTCCTCCGGGTTCGGCACGCATCGACTATGATAGATACGTTGTTTGCAGTGCTGTTTTTTTTTCTCATGTCAGTTACTCGGGTTCTGACTGCTTAGATGGAAGAGAAGAAAGAGCAAAAAAAAAAAAAAAAAAAAAAAAAAAAAGAAAAACTCACCTTATTGCAACAAATCACCATTTCCGGCTGCGGCACCACCTCTCCACACCTCGCACAACCCCCCGCCGCACTCTTCTTCCTACCACTTGACTGCTGCTGCTCCTGTGCCTCAGATTCCTTGCTTGCCTGCCCCCCATCCCCAGCACCAGGACCATTCGCACCCTCAGCAGCAGCCATGGCCTTCCTGGCCTCGTTCAACTCCTTCGTCACCGCCATCACCGTCGCATCATCCACGTATCTCCTCGCCAACAAAACCGCCATATGTTTCCCCAGTTCCTCCGCCCGACTCCTCTTCTCCAGCAACCATGTCGCTTTCTCCCTGACAAAGTTGCGAAACTCTCTAGGCAGGTACTGCTCCGAGCACAGGTGTTTCTGCAGGATGTAGGCGTCCCACTGCATCATGTACTCCTTTTCCTGAGGTTCGACGTCCGAAAACTCGCCCAGGGCGTCGGCATGCTTGGTGATCAGCCAACCTTCGTCCAGGGGCGGGTAGCGGACCTCGGAGCCGGGAGCGAGTTCGACTTTGGAGAGGGGGTCGTAGATGGGGCGGTTGATGTTGTGGGGTATGTAGACGGGTTTCTTTTGGGGTTTGACGGCGGTGGCGGCGGCGCGGCTGCGGGTGGATGTGGAGGTGGTGGAAAGACATTTTTCCTTTTGCTGCTGCTGTTGTTGTTGCTGCTGCTGTGGTCCCTTGGTTGGGCTTCGGCTGGCTGGGAGATGAGGCCTTTCACAGTCGTTGGGATCGGGTAAGAGACGGGATTTAACCCAGGAGTCGTCGCCGTTGACGAATTTGGAGAGGTCAAGGGGTTTTACAGGAAGGCCGAGGGAAAATGATTTGCTCGCTTCCAAGGCAGGCATGGTGGTCGATGTGTATCCAGGGGCTCTATGGATTGCCACCAGGTACATGCCCTTCTTCTGCTCAAAACTGAACTCATATTCGGGGTGGCATGAGAAGTGAGCGCGGAGCTGGCTGATGCGGTCGTGCTCAGCTGCGCATACCAGACAAGAGAGCTTGTTGCAGGTGGCCTGCAACGTCTCCTCGTTTCCAGGCGTTTCAGGCGGCAAAACGTAGGTGACAGTGTGCTCGTCTAGTATAGGATGTTCGTCGTCGGCTCTTCGCCGTTTCCGTGGCTCCTTCCCTACGGCGGTGTTCCATAGTTGCCTCACGTTGTAATTGACTTCGGTCCTGTGGCGCCTAGATCGGTTGGGCGTCAGGTCACCCTCGGCCAGTTCTTCGGTATCAGCAAGCAAAGTGCTGTTAACTTCCCAATTTCCGGTCTTCCTGATCTCGTTACTAGTGTTTGGGTCATGATGATGCCCATTGATACCCTTAACTCCGTTTGTACCATTTACTGGCAGTTCTGACAGGGGCTTCTTAGGGGCCCAAGGGTCACTTACTGTAATAGAGGGCATGATCTCCTTGGGCTTCTGGTTCCCTGTTAGTTGGCTTGATATGCTCGTTTGCCAGCGCACATCAATGTCCATGGCGAAATCCGTAGGCGTCTCTCGGCTCTGTTGTATCCTTGCCTTCAACCTCGCCGTCTTCCTGTTGCGAGTGTGGAAAATATCAGGAAGCTGGGCGTAAAGGGCCCACTGGCGCGGTGGCAGGTTACGAACCAAGGGATCCTCCATCTTGGCCGGCATTAGGCTGCTGGGTGGCCAGTTTGGATCTCCGGCTGACTCGATTTCGATTAGGACACTGTAGGAATCGGCAAAGCCAAAGGCGGGATCATCACCATCCCGCTCCATGTATATTTTGTCTTCGGGAATATCGAAAGCTTTGATAGCATACAGTCGAGCCATGTGTGTGGATGCGGCGGCAGGGTTCCTGTAAACCTTGAGCTCGCATAACTGGCTGTCGACGTGCAAGAGAACCTTTTCATCCCCATTATGACCATAGATGCTCAATTTGCAACGCGCCCGCATGTTGGCGGTATCCCTCACATTGGGTGCCACGATGCCGTTAGGCACGCCATTTTTGATGCGGGGTGAATTTTTGTGAATAATCTTGAGGACCTCAATCCGCAGGCAGCGTGGGGTGTTGCCGTTTGGATCCTCGTATAAGGGAAAGCCATGATTGTCATTGAGGCGTCGACGTTTTGCTGGATGCTGGCATGTGTCGTCGAGGTCTTGATCGGGCTTGTGGCTGTGGTCGGCAAATCTGACGTCGGACTCATGAGCAGGCACCCGAGACTGGGTGGAGGGCTTGTTGCCCATTCTATCTTCCCAGTAGTTGGTAGCGTGAATCCAGTTCCGATGCAAGAAGGGTAACTGGCGGTATCGCCGACACCTCGATGTCATAGCTGCGAAGAAAGGTTAGAAACATACAACATGTGGGAGAGATGATGAACTTTTGAGTGCAGGGAGTCTGTGAGGGGGAACTTGAGAGCTTTGTACAATCACTACTGTATATGTCTGAAGCAGGAAGCTGTACACCCAAAGCCACGGCTCTGTGTCTTGTTGGGATATGACAAGCTCAGCAGGTGCATAAAACTGTAGCTGAGTAAAAGAAATGAGGGCGAGGACAAGAATGACCAAGCATCCAAAGAAAAGATCAATTGTGAGAACCCTTGTTTTTCCACCCAGAGTGAAAGAGAGGTGAGCTCAAGGGTAACCTCAAAGATAAAGGCAGAGGCAGGCGATGAGAGCTAAGCGGTCACCACGGTAACCCTGACAGCGACCTTTGGGCATTGTGAAGCAAAAGGCGTGATGCCAACCAAAGCCCTATATCAACACATAGAGAGTCCTTATGCAATGAAAAGGGGGCCCGGGTTGCCGCGTCCAACAACAGCAACAACTTGTCTTTTTTTTGACTGGCCAGACAGACGCCGCAGTGGCCCGGAATAGAGCCAGCGAATTTCCTAGTCCTCTCACTCGACTGCCCAATACGTAGTAAATCCAATATGAAATCTCTGTTGAGATGTCTCTGTCGCATCACGCTCACAACCATATGGTGTGTGTGTGTCCAGAGAAAGTCGGATTTCGCGGGACAATGGAGGGGTAGGGGTAGGGGACAGAAAGGAAAAATGAAGGAAAAGAGACGCGTACCGTTACCAGAAATTGGCACAAAAACAGGAGAGGTGCCATGTTGCTCGCGATTCCCGTCACGTCTCACTCGGTGATGCACGGAGCCCATCTTGAGTGGTCGGCCCCAGTCACTCGTGGATCCGGGATGCCAATTGTGCACTGTGCTGGAAAGTTCCTTAGTGCATAAAGACTGATAGCCGGCTATCAATGTTGCTGCGAATATCGCTGTGAAGTACAGTATCGCACTAACACCCATGAGACACTGAGCAACCGCGAGGTCGCTGGATGTCGATTGGTGGGAATGTTGCAACCACCCGGGCGCTTCCTGTCGCTTCCACTTCTAGCGAAGACCTCCACTGATTTCCAGAACTCGGTGATGACGGTCAATGTTGTGATATCAATATCAGCAGGCCGAAGAATTGTTGATTGAATTTTGAGGTCGATTGATGCAAGATGATGCCAAAAGAATGAGCGTCTACCATACGAAGTAAAATTGTTTCCTTTGGCTGGGGGAAAGACCGCACGTCAATTGGTGCGGGGCAAGGTGCAGTTACCAAAATGGAAAGTTGACAGCCAACAAGTGGAGGGAGCGAGGTGAGTTGGTGATGGAGGAAGAATCAGATTCGCTTTTTACCTGCAGTAGAGAAAGGAAAGGAAAGTTCAAAGGGTAGCACCAGTCTGCGGTGAATGCCCAGGGGTAAGTGAATAGCGAGGTGAATGTAATTGAATCAGGCTGACAGCGAGTGACAGGCAGATGACTTGGGCGTCAGTCAATGCCCTGCCGTGTGGTGGCAGGCACAATAGAGAAATCCGAGCAACAATAGGGCAGGTGCGTTTTCTTACGTGTATGTTACACTTGCACCTGCCATGCCAACTTGGACAACTTTCAAAAACTTTGATTTCTCTTCGTTTGATTTTCCCTCCACCGTCTCCACCCCAATTCTTTCGCCAAACCCGTGGTATTCATCTTCATCACAATGGCTATCTGACGACATCCATCTTATTCTAATTTTGTTGCTGTTGCACTGAGCTAAACCATTCTTTGGTATCGTCTATATGGATGGAAGTGGCTGGTACTCCTTGGTGTGGCCATACGACCAGACCGTTGCCCACGGCAAGCTTGACAAGTATCCAGATTGCCATCTTCACTATCATTCCTGCCCAGTCGACACCGTCCTGATCACAAGTTTTCAGAGCTCTATTGAGGAAGTAGCCTCAGGAGTGTGGTATGTATTCGTCATTCGTGGCAGCCTCGGCCTCTTCCTAATAGCAGTTGTTTGACAAAGGCTTTGGAAACAGACATGACGTGTCAACAGGCACACTCAAGGCTCATATATCACTCAGATAGTACGAAGACAAGCTTCTTTTGGTCGGCCATTCAAGCAAATGCTCCAGCACAGCCTTCTGTTCCGGATGGTGTGCCAACTTCCTACTGCAGCTCCCCAACCCTAACCCTTGCCAATGTCACGACTTTTCGAGGAATATCTGACTTCTCAGCATAGGAAGCAACGAAATGAGCATCGTGTTACTCCAGATTCTTATCATTGTGACAAGGTTCGTGCTTTTTGTCTAGGAGACTGACAGCTTATTGCTTGCTATCAAGTCTGGCAGATGACCTGGTATCCACACCACCAGCCTTGTTATTGCCTTGCCGCCCCGTTTCCAAACATGAACCGAATGTCAACAAACAGACAAAGAAGGGTAGTCGTCAACTAAAAACGACAAATCAAAGCAAAGGGGTTTCTGGACATAATGTAATGTAAGTCAAGGCACTTTATTTCCCAGTTGTCTGTCGAAACCCCGTCGTCTGCTTTCCATTCCGCCTCACCCCATTATGCTCCGCAGTCCAAGCATCCATTACCATCAACCTGCCCAAACCTCATCACCGCCTGTCCTGATGCACAAAGTAAAACCTGCCATGAACATAGTACCTTCGATGGACTGGAACAGAGCAAAGAGCAAAAGCACACTACAAAAGCCCCAACTCCATGCTCAAACACCATCCAGATTCTTCACCGCACTGTATCAACACGAACTACCATTTTCCTCCGCATTTTGGCGTCATTGGTCTCTGCCCCAGTGGCTGATCGGTTGTATGTGGGATGCTCAGATTTCACCCTCATACTTGTAGTTGTCTTCTCCCTCTATCCTCCCAACAACATCCATTAGCACATCATATCCTTTGCCTTCCCACCCGTATGCTGCATCTTCTTCATCCAAAAGGTCGACATCGTCAGAGCAACAAGAAAAGTAGTCAGACTCACCATCATCCTCCTCCTCCTGCTTGGTCTGCATCTCAGGAGTAGTCTTCTCCTTCTTCAGCGGGCGTTGCTTCTCGTCGTCATCGGAATCCTCCGGTTCCGCCTTGTACGTGAAGGGCTCACGGTTGTCACCGGAACCTTCCTCATTGCCGGAATCCTCGTTGTAGTTGACGGTTGCAGTGGCCCTCTTGCGCTTAGTGCTGCGGGGAGCCCGAGGAGTCTTGGCCTTGGCCGGGCTGCTCGCGCCGCTGGCGCCCACATCATCGGTCAAGGAGCCGTAGTTCTTGGGCGGCTGGATGTCGTGCGCTTTGAGGAGGCGCTCGTAGCGTTTGGCACTGTTAGGAATGGGGTCAAGTGTCAGATTAGCTCGAGTTAATTGCGGGAGGGGTGGGGGTGAAAAAGTGAGAAAATAGTGACTGAATGAGTTGAGTGACTTACGCTGCGGCCTTGGATACGATGCTGAGCTCCTCGGCAACTTCAGTCCAGTTGATCTTGCCATTGGTCGAGTGCTTGATGCAAGTCAAGAGGAAGTTCATCTGACCGGCAACGTCCTGGTTGGCTTTGGGAGGCATTTTGACGGCTGAGTGAGATGAGGTCGGCTGGGAAGGACTGCTATCAGGTCAGTTGACTGCTGGTTAGAGAGTAACCCTGTCGAGTGACTGTCGAGTGACTGTTGTGGGATGCCTGGTGGCAGCAGTGCGATAGAGTGACAGGAAAGTGAAAGGTGCGAGTGGACTTCCAAGACGCGAGAAGATGACGCTATTTCTTGCAGCCAAACACGTCCGAGGGAATAGGACTCACTTTGGTTGACAAAATTGTCAGAAAGATGAGTTCGGCGACTGCTTCGAAGCAAAAGGCTTTAGTAGGCAAGCTTGTGGTTGTTGAAAGAAGGAAGAATGTGAGAGACGTCGACGGATGGGGGATATTTATGGACGTCCAGAACCCCACTTGGCGACAACGTCTGTCTAAACACCGTCCCTATTATGGCAGGCGACAAGACCGCCAGGACGTGTTTGTCGTCCGAGACTACTGTCCAGGACGGCGGGTCATTGGATGAGTGGCCGTGCTCGACAGGCTGCAGCGGCCGTTGACTGGAAATTTCCATCCGTTTTATTCATCGTCCGGGCAACCCCACTACAATGCTAAGACTCAACAGTCGAGTCTGTTTGCCCAAGTGGGATGGCAGGTACGCCAGAAAGGATTTGAATGTCAGAGAGTAATGTCCAGCCCCAGCCCCCCAAAACGCGATTTCATCAGATAAATCCAGAGTGCCTTTCATGTCCTTCACGAAAGCTTTTCGTCAAAGTTCCCGTGGAGGCGATGTTCACACATGGCACGAAATGCAGCTCAAACGCTCAAGTCCTATTGTGCCTTTGCACCCAATACTTCATCCCTTGTTGAACGTCCATGGAACATGTGTCATCAAACAATCAAGTGACTAAGAACCCATTCACTTGTCCATGATCCAAGCCTTGACGTTCTTGGCTGTCCTTTGGATAGTCACCTACCGATTAACGACCCTTTCGGACACGTGTCTGAGGTCTGCAGAAGAGCAGTATCCGTTCAGAAAAGGAAGTGTTTGTCGTCTGTCATCTGTCACTTGATAATTTGCCCAAAGCTGGTCGGTCAATGGGCAGTCGACCTGGCATTCTTCGAAACAGAAGATCTGGGACATAGCAAGTGCAGCAGTACTCTAGGGTCCAGTGGTCATATGTTATCTAGTTACTGGTTTCTGGTATTACTACACATTTACATTTGTTTACTTTCTGGTTGGGGTGAAAATTCCAAGAGAAAATGAGGGATCAAGCTTCGGAGCCTGTCCTTACCTTGGTAGGGGCATACGATGGTGAAGTCATTACTGTCAAAAGCATGCATGCATGTTGCCGCAACTATCCAATCATTGTCTGAGACACCGCAAGCTTTCAGTATTAGTGATCGGGGAGTGTCTGCTTCGAAAAAGACCTAGGTCAATATACATTACCTTGATGGGGCGTCGTAGGTCTTTACTTCGCTTGGTGAATCCAACCTCGAACCTTGTCCCGAGGTGTCTCTTTGCAATGAGAAACCTGGATGAGATCACCTACAGGTTCTTCTGGCATGTTTCTGGTCGCTCACTGCTTTGTTATATATCTGTATGTATAGCAGGTGACAGGCAGAAAAGGGCCAGAACCTTGAAAATTTCGAAAATTGTGGAATATGGTTCATGTAACCTTGATCAGAGAAGCCTCTGGGTATAAAGTCGATCTTGAGTCCTTCGACTCCAGTAACTTTCCTTCTTCCACTTCTACTGCCATCAGAGAACAATATCTCAAAATTCTGCCCGCCCTTGTTATGTCTTGATCTTCAACTTGGCCTTGAGCTTTCTTTTCCGGGTAGAGATAATACTCTTGAAGGCCTAGAGCCTCACCTGTTGTAAGTCACCCAGATACGCAACTTCAATGTTCCAAACTATGGTTGCTGACAATAATGATTCCTACTCCTCTCATAGAAACTGGCAATGCCACCCAAAACCTCCAGCGCCGTTCCCAAGCTCCGGGGTAGAGAGCCTTGTATTAAGGACATGAACCTCATCTACAGCATACTCGAGAATATCACTGGCAGTGACAGAAACAACAAAGGGCTTCTCAAATTTGACGCGGCAAAGGCTGCCCAAACAGCCAATTTCAGCTCAGGAGAAGTGCTCCGCAACAAGTGGTACAGATTCCGGCGGACCTTCCTACTTAACAGCAATCTTCAAGTCGACCCAAAGAGAGCTCGCTGTTCGTCAATCGAGCCAGAACTCCGTGGCCTGAAACCGACCGCCAGCGACCTCAATCTCATATTTAGCATCCTCGAAAATCTCAAGGACAAAGTCCTAGCTGACTGGGCCAAGGTTGCTGAGCGGGCTGGCTTGGGGAGTGCTGATGAGGCTCAGCAGGCGTGGGTGAATCTATGTGCGAAGTATCAGCTTTGGAACGACGACATTGCGGTTTGGAGGGCTTCCAACTCTCCGTGCCCTCAACATCCGCTTGTTGTTGTTGCCGATCAACTTCAGCCTGCTTTTATTTCTGTGGCTGATGCCATTTCTGTCCCCCATACTCACCAAAATCCCATTCCCCCCTTTACCCCTATTCGGCCTACGGTTTTGAGTGTTCCTTCTCGCAATGACCTCCTCCCTGCTCTAGCTTCAGCCCCCACGCTTGCACCCGTCAAAACGCCGACTATCACCGGACCTCATGCCCCTGTCCATCACCAAGTCTTCATCTCCGGCACTCAAATCAACAAAAACAACGACAAAGACTCCGTCAACAACAAGCCCGCTACTGACGCCAGTAGGGGTACCCAGACCGACGCTAAATGCTGCCCTACCAAGGCAATCGGCTTCAAGGTCGTTGCCAGAGCCCTTCTCTGGCGTTCCATTCTGGTTGAGAAGAGCGAGAGGAAACAACACGAGAGAGTTCTTGGTCTTGCTGCCGGTTGTCATGCCCGTGCCCATGCCAGTCACTCTTGGTCTTGGGATACGCCCATCAACAAGAACGAGTCCGTGGCCAATGAGGAGCCCACCATCACGGTTACCTCTACCAACAAGGGTACTAAGAGTAAAGGCAGAGACGCAGGTACACAAACTGAAGACCCCTGTTGTCGTGTCACGGAATTTGGGTTTAGGGTAGCGTTTGTTTACTTGTTTGTTGTTCTGAATGCCCCTGACCAGCAGGATAGCGTGTCTGGTTGGCCCCTAGAACATCTGGGAGCTGGAGCAAAACCTGTTTCCAACTCCAAATCTTACTCCTCCATCTCCAACTCCGTCTTCTTCAACAATCTTCGAATCACGACTGCCACTACAATCTCCCCTTTCCCCACTCCAACCACTGGACTAACCGGCACCCCCTTCTCTCCCACCACCAAGAGAGCCAAAACCCTACTAGCAGCCGCCAGGTATATCTGGTCTTTGTCAGCCAAGGCAGAGTATGAGCACGATGAGAGTCTGGGAGAGTGGCCGGGCTGGCTACTCCTGGACCAGGGCGGCGGTGGTGGTGTGTCTTCGACCGCGTATGAGAATGCGTTGGCTTCAGCGGTGGCGCCGCTGAGGTTGTTATGGTTGAGGGTTGCTGTTATGATGTAGGTGGCGCAGCTCTTTCTGCGAGTGTTCCTGGGTCTTTCCGTGGTTGCTGCTACCGCGAGCAGTAGTGAAAAGGACAACAAGATCAACAACGACAACAACAACAAGACGAAGAAGAGTAATGACGAAGAAGAAGATGCAGAAAGAGATGGGAGTACTGAGGGAGAAAGATAGAAAGAGGGACAGGTGACAATTAATCGCAGTTCAGCTCTTCTGCCGCACACAGCTCTCCCTATGTGGCTTTGGAGGTGGAATGTCGACGAGGACAGTATGGAAGTTTGCACTAGTTGCTGTAGACATCACGCTGGCTGGCAGAGGGGTTCTCTCAACCGTGAACTGGTTTGCTTTCTCTAGTAGGTATAGGCGTTCACTCTGCTATTCTATAGCGAGGTCATGGATTCCCCTTCCTTGTTTGTCCTTCCATCAGCCTTGTTGAATGCCGACAAAGCAAGAAAACGTGATAACTGGCCATGACAGGATCCATCAACCGAAAGACGACAGCAAAGAAATCTATTTCTCGCCAACAAAGAAGAACCTCCCAGCCTTGAGGAGGAGCGATCCCGTTAACAACGCCAAACCAAGTATCAAGCAACCGACCGACCAAAGGGGGCACTCTCAACTCCGAGCTTGTGTAAAGCAAAGAAATGGAGATGAAAGCTACCCTTGCATCAAGACCAACTGCCGACTAATACCGAGATTGCAAATGTCTAAACCCACGCAGGCCTTAACTCCGAGATCGATAGCATGAGAAAGCAGAGAAATGCCAGCAAGTGACCGAGAGCGCAAGACCAAAACTCCAAAAGAGCCAACCAGATTATGACCACCAACCAAGATCCGACTGTAGGGGAGACAGACAACACTCTTGTTGAGGTTGTCTTGATCAGTGGTTCCAATGTGCGAAGTACTGGCGGTCTTGTCGGTGGTGAGATCCTGGGAATGAACAAAACCATCAGCAACTATTCCAACTTTTGACTTCCAACTACCCAGCCATGGAGGACTGACGACTGAGGAAAGACTCAAACGAACGAAGCACAATGAAACTAACAACTCACCTGTGGGCTAGATCTCGCCGTAATCGACACCACCACCCTCAGTAGCAGTAATGTAACCCTCGTCAGCCGCAGCAGCAGCAAGAGTGTCCTCAATAGCCTCTGCGGCCTGGGAAATGCCTTCCATCGCGGCATCGACATCGTTGCCGTAGAAATCACCGATGAAACCAGCATCAGTAGCAGCCTCAACCTTGACCTTAGTCTCAGCCTGGGCGGCGGCCACAGCCTTCTGCTTCGCGGCGGCGGAAACACGGGGCTTGCGAGCAGCAGGCCCCTTCTTGGCGGGAGTCTCGTCAGGGTTGGCCTCAGTAGCCGAGCGCTTGTTAGAGGTACCAAAAGCTTTCTTGGACGGAGTCTCAGGCGTTATGTCGTTGAAGTTTAAGTTTCCCATGGGCGTGCCAGGGGTGGCGAGGGCGGTCTCGACGCCCTGGTTAGCACTACCACCAACTCCGGGCGTGAGCAACATTTTCTTCGGGCGAGTACGGCTCACGCGACTGCCACCGCCGCCACCACCAGTTCCAGGGGCCTTCTTCGGGGTAGCGGTAGAAGAAGAAGAACCAGTAGAGGTAGTGACAGACTGGTTGCTGTCACCTCCTCCCGAAGCAACAACAACAGCAGCCGCGGCGGCGGCGTTGGGGTTGCCAAGCTCGTACTTGCGACGGAGCTGACGGTACATCTCCTTGTACGAGTTGGGCTTGAGACCGGCGGTCTGGGCGGCGCCTTGCAGGTCGATATCGAGGGGCGCGTTCAGGTTGCTGAGAGCGCCGAAGAGGATCTTCACCTCGCTGCTGGTGAGGGCTTGACCGCGGAGGGCGCAAGCGGACTCACCATTGGCGACGGCTTTGGGGGGCATTATGGATGGATGGATGGGAGTCCTGCTTGTGGTTATTATTTGGGATCTGAGTTGTAGACAAAAGCTGAGTGACGGACGTACGTTTGAGTAATGCGAAGGATGGGTTTGAAAGCTTTCCTGGTGATTTCCAAAGATCGTAGGCAGCAAGAGAGGGTGACCTTGGGTCTGAAGGAATTCTTCTGGTGACGGGAAATCAAATGTGAGTTAACGTCTGAAGACAACACGATAGCTGATAATCCTACCGATACTTGGAAAGAAGACTCACGGCAAGTAGTCTGGTAAGTAGTTCCACTGAAGGAGGAGATGTTCTTGCTTTGAAAAAGAAGAGTGTCTTGACGAGGAGGGAAAATAGCAGAAAATCAAGTCGTGGAGACCCGAGGTGGAACAGCTGCCAATGGAAGGAAAAAAAAAAAAAAAAAAAAAAAATCAAGATATTATGCACTGGCCGGAAAAACCTCGCTTGCCAGAATCCGAAACAACAAACAACTTGGGGAACTCCGTTTAGAACTCCGTTTAGTTGAGACGGCAAACTTTCGAAAAATGTTCCCCTTCGTGACCGTCCTTAGATGCCCCGTCCGGAGCCAAGAACCCCCATACTAGGCCAATGAGGGCTGCCCTCCACTGTGATTAACGAATGATAAGGCTAAATGCTGGGCATGTACGAGATCCACATCAGCCGGTATCAGTAGGTTTCTCCTATAAGAAAAACGTCTGGCGAGGGAGAGGTTCCTTTCAATGTTTCCTGCTGGGGTGATAGTCTATGTCCGGGCTTTAGGGGGGACACTTGGTACCCGGTACCGAATTCGCGGTGTCTATGGCTGGTTACAACTGGTGTTTTGTTGTTCCTGAACTAAACGAACCCGAAATAAGTCGGAGTGATACCTATCGTTCTTCTTAGACCGGTGAACTGGTACCACTTCGCTGCGGTTTTCTAAATTCGGGTCGTAACGTTTTGTTTTCTGCCCTCCCCCTCCGACTGAACACGGCCCATGCTGAGCTGAGACTTTCTTCTCTTTCTTCTCGTCAACAATTCTCTTCCTTCGCTTGCAAAGCATCACACCCTTTTTCGTTCGACGTACCACAGCCTCGAGTTTTGCAGCTTGGCCTTGCTTTCTTCTAAGACATCACCAACAGCTTCAAATTCTTGTAAGTAGAGAACACATCTTCTTCCATCGACCTAATTCATCAGGCCAATTTCCTTGACGTGTCTGCTTCTGATTTCGGTAGGTCGGTCTTTGTTATGTGCTCATGATTCCTGACAAGTTTTCCCACGTCGCAGATAGGAGCTCATTCGCGCCCAAACGTCCCCTTGTTGCCCACGGCCATCTCCGCTGTCGCCTCAGAAAATTTACCTTCATCACTCGACGGTAAGCTGATCCATCTGAATAGTATCTCGTCGATACTGCCCTCTACTGTTTACTACCATACCCCTGCTTGACCTCGCGTCCCTCTCCAGTGGACGCCATTGCTTCCTTGGTCAAGCAAGATGCCATCCCCATCTTCCAGGTTTTCTTGTCAATTTACAATCTATGGTGGTTGCCACAAATCATCGAACGATGTCAGCTTGATAGATTTCATCACTCGATCGATGGACAACGAGCTAACAGTGTTCCATCAGCAGACTTCCACCATGGCTCCCAAGTCTGCTCCTGTCGGCGACACTGTGTACACCATTAACGGTATTCCCATGACTGCCTCTGACATGAAGTTGATCTTCGGCGTTCTCAACAATCTGACCGCGCCCATCGAGGCAGACCTGGACGCAGCCGCCGCCTTCGCCGGCTACACCGTCGGTTCGTTCAAGAAGATGTGGCCGACCTTGAAGAAGAAGTGCAACATCGACAGTGTCAGCGGCACCAAGCAGACTTCTTCTGCTGCTCCCGCTTCTACCACCGCTGAGGACGACAGCGGCGAGACCATTGCAACCCCGAAGAAGACTCCCGGCGGCGGCGGTGGCGGTCGCGGCGCTCGTGGCCGTCCCGCCAACAAGAAAGTTCTGACCGAGGAGACCGGCGGTCCGAGTCCCTTGACTCCTGGCGTCCCCGCAGGCATGAAGGCGCTCACTGTCGCTGATGCTGGCTCTGAGACCCCCGAGACTCCCAGCAAGTCCATCTTCGGTGGCGGCATGAACACCAGCACTTCTGCCAAGAAGCGTACTGCTGCTGACGCGGCTGATGCTGACCCGGATGCGGATTTGATGACCGAGACCCCGGCTAAAAAGAAGCCGGCGCGCAAGCCGCGTGTTACTGCCAAGCAGAAGAGAGAGGCTGCTGCTGCTGCGGCGGCGGCGGCTGCGGAGACTGCTGCGGAGACTGCTGCAGCGACCTCTCCTGCTCCTTCTGACGCCGCTGCTGCGGGTTCTGATGGCGACAAGAACATCAATGTTGCTATGAAGAATGACCATGGTGGCTCCGACTCCGGCGAGATTTGAGTTGGTACGTACACGCAAGTTTTCTTTTTACCTTAACTTGTCTCTATATTTTCCTTCAAGATTGCAAGGTAGATGAAGAAAGAGGTCGCTAATGCTGTTGCTTACACAGACACCAAGCTGGCCGCAACAACCGAAACGGACTGGTACTTTGTTGCGGATCCACAACACGAACATCAACCTTCAACGATGTAACTTTTGCTATCGCTTTCAAATCGGTTTCTCGATGTTCTCTGTTTACAACTGGGACTTTGGAGTTCGGTTTTGATGGCTTTCCGGCTGGGATTTGGGCATGGGTTGATTGTTCTTGGAGTTGGTCAGATGCTAGAGGTATCAAGGCGATATCCAATGCTTTCCGTCCACTTCTGGTTTGATTTTTTTTTCTTGCTCTGAAAGGCCTTAAACAGAAACTGGCATTTTCAGTTTGCGAACACATACTTGTTTGGCGCTTCGGACTCATCTTGGACTCTTTTATGGTCACTGGAAACTGCTACTTTAGAGCATCAACGGAATGGCCAAGACGTCTTTGGTGCATATAGAATAGCGGTACTTGCAAGTCTTTCGTCCGAAGTACATCCATCAAAAGACTTTTTGCGGGGGCAGAATACAACAGGAGGTAGTTTGACAATAATGCCAATAATTCGGTTGTCCAAGCCCATAATCAATATGATATGGAGTACTGGTTGGGAGAAGTGCTTGATTGGCGGCCTGAGGGGAAAAAGAAGAAAAGTCATGCCAGGCTCAGCCAAGTGTTATCTGCGAATGGACATACAAAGGAGGATGCACCTTCCAAACGTCACGGAGGGGTATCTTCCTACGACTTTTCAGAGAGCCCTTTCCATTGGCCAGGGAGAGGACCTTTGTCTTGAGAACCTTTGATGGTAGGCGCTCAGATTGGATCACTTGAGGAAGTAAGTATCTTGCAAGCTAGGTAGGTTTTTTTTTTTTTTTTTTTTTTTTTTTTTTTTTTTTTTTTTTTTTCCCGAGCGTGGCAGTTGCCGAGCCCCCCTTTTCTTTTTGATAGAAACAAGAGGAAGTCAATACCCTGCCGGCAAAGCACGTAGAGGTAGACATGAAAGTGTGGAAATCACGATGGAAAACAGGGACACTATCGACCGTGGACAGAACTGTTTTCTGTTGTTGCCTCTGTGAATGGACTTTCATCCTATCTCCTGCTGTAAAGAAGTCACAGGTTCCTTTGTTGAGCGGCCAGCTCCACAGCTCCCAGAAATCCACTGAAGCAAGCAACGAAAGTACATCATAGCCAGTCACCACCTAAATTTCCATGGCGAGTATCATGGGAAAAAAACACTCCAGGCACCGGATATGTCCACCAAAGACACCAATCCGACTGCGCCAAACAAAGAGTACATGCCAATGACTGAAAACGCCCAATATTATTGCTTCCAAACGCCTGGCTGTATGCACTCAGCAAATAATCATAATGAAAGCAACACGTGTTCATGCTACTTTGGCCATCTTATTCAACCAACATCCATGATGTCCAGTCTACATAGTGTCTGACCCAGAACCAAACCAAACTCCAAAGGTGCAAACCACACTCAAGGAAAAGGCGCAAGATAAGCTGAGAGACAAGCAACTTCTTCGAAAATAGCGTAAGGTTGGATTGTTTGCAAAGAGAGAGATTGGTCGTCGGAACTCGAAAGTCACATCTGTGAAGGATGAAAAGCATTAGTGACCAAGACCAAGTTCACTTTGGAATAAAGCAAGGACGAGATAAAGACATACCCATGGTACCTAACTTCCAGTCACGTTGGTGGCCGCAGCGCTACCATCATCAAATGAAGGCAGTAGAGGTAGCTTCAGCCTCAGCAGCGGCGTTGGCCTCCAAAGCCAAATCCAAAGCCTCCGCGGCCTCACTACCAGGCTCTTCCGTGCCCTCCATAGTAGCATCAATACCGGCGGCGTCATCGATAGTAGTACCAGCCGGGAACATGGGAGAAGAAATCGGCTCGTTGAAAGAAGCAACGGTGCCGATCGGGTCCTCAGTAGCTGTAGTAGCAACCTCGGCAGCAGCGGCCGCAGCGGCCGCAGCCTCCCGCTTCTGCTTAGCCGTCATACGCGGCTTGCGTGCAGAAGTAGGCTTCTTTCTCGCGGGCGTCTCGTCAGGGTTGGCCTCAGCAGCAGTACGCTTCTTGACCGAGGCGGCAGTGGTAGACTTGGATGGAGTGTTAGGCTGCTCATGACCGACGAAGTCCATGTTGTCGTTCATGTTAAAGTCCTTGGTCGAGCCGGCGAGGCTGGTATGGTCGGGAGTAAAGGTAGTGGGGGTCAGGAGGGCTCCCGAGTCACCCTCGTCGGCGGCGGGCTTTTTCTTCCTAGAGTTGGGGGTTTTCTTGACGGCGGTCTTGACAGCATCGCCTTCAGCAGCACCAGAACCGCCGTCAGCGGTGCCCTTCGCGCTGTCAAGGCCGTACTTGAGGCGAAAGCGACGATACAATTCCTTGAAGGATTTGCGGTCCTTAAGGCCAGCTGACTTGGCCGCGCCATCCCAATCGGCTTCAATAGGAGCGAGGAGGTTCTCCATGAGGCCGAAGATGATCTTGAGATCACTCTCGGTGGGCTTTATGCCATGGATGGTGCCAGTGATGGCGAGCTCAGCGGGTTTGGGGGGCATGGTGTCAGAGGTCTGTTGTTTGCGGGGTCTAGCGATGTGAGAAAACTTGTCAGAAGGTTTTCTGGAGACAATCTCACCGCAACCGCGAGCGGAAAAGGTAGACCCAATTGGCATGGTAGGTGAAGCTACTAGGAAAAAGGCCGTCTACTCACAAGAACAGGAAGCTATTGGCGAGTATCTTGCTGGAAACAGACCGTGGAGGTGAGCTTGTTGTATGCTGAACGAAGAAAGTTGGTGTTGTTTGGTTGAGGAAGATAGAATTTCTTGACGGTAAGGCAAGGAAAAAAGAGTTCACAGTTCGAGTAGTGGAAGCAGAAGCCCGGTGTAGAACCGTCATCAGTCGGGTACCAGGGGAGCTGCGAATACCAGACGTCACGCTTGGTTTGAGAAATATCATCGGGCTTGTACCAATTCACCAAATGTTTTAGATCGGGAGGTATCACTCCGGCAATTTCTGGTAACACTGCTGTCCAAGGACAACCAAATACCAGTTATAACTAGCTCCAGACCCTTCAATTTTGGTACCAGGTACCAAGTGGCCCCCCTCAGAGACCGGCAGTAGACTACCAAGCACTACGGCAGAAGAGATGGGCTTCCTATCTCTGCCTCACCAAACGGTATGCTTTGGGAGCAAACGTTTATGGACCCGATGTACCGGTAGCTGGCCATTGTGGATAATGTACCTGGTTTATCGCTTTTGCTTGGAGTGCCAGCCCTGGAGAGCAGCCCTCAGTGGCCTGGCGTAGAAGTTCTTGGCCCCCGGGCTGGGAGGGGGCATGAACAGATGGTCACGAGGGGGTGTCTCCGGCAAACGTTATGGAAAGTTTGTCGTCTGAAGCTTGGTAGTCGAAGAAATTCCGCAGGATTTTGATACCATTATCATGCAGGCTTCCTTCTATTTCGTACGATATTTGCTGTGAGCTGTCCCCATTGGCCAACAAGAGGACGTTTATCGTGAGGACCTTTAGGGGTAGGCGACTAAGTGGTCACACGCTGCCCAGATTTTTTGGGGGCGAGTGTTCTTGTAAGCGAGGGTTTTCCGGTCGTGACATCTTACTTCCCCCCTCCCGCCGGCAAGAACTCCACTCCTTATTCTTTTGTTGTTTGGTACCCTTCTCGTCAGGGCGCTCTTCTTTTCCCAAGCAACAGCTTCGACAGCTTCCGTCATCACCGATCACCACTCAGTGTCTCGGCTAGATTTTTCTCAAGGCAGGACTCGTCACCAACAGCCTCTTGTTCTTGTAAGTATAGCTTTGTCTTCTTCCATCAAAATTGCCGTCAATCCATTCTCAGGCATTGACCGACAAGTTCGCCCTCGTCGCTGGCAGCATTCGCTTAGGCCCACGATCACCTCGTTGCCTACGATTTCTGATTATTGCAAGAATATTCACCTCTTCCACTCAAACGTAAGTCGCTTGCTCCAAATTAAATCTCAAGGGCATTACCTTCATCCCCTCGTGCTCCTGTCCTTCCATCACCTTGTTGCTCGCCAAATCCTCCACAAGAGACTGACCATTCCTCACCCCCCCAAAGCCATACCAAGCACTCAAGATGCCTCCCAAAGCCGCTCCCGCTGAGGGCGCTACATCCGGCCCTGTCATCAACGGACAGACCCTCACCTTCCAAGAGACCAAGGTGGTTTGCGCCATCTTGGAGAACCTGACCACCAAAGTCGATGCCAATTGGGAGAAAGTCGCCGAGTCCCTCGGCCAGAAGAACGCCAAGAGTGCCAGAGAGGCGTGGAGACTGCTTCGCAAGAAGTGTGATCTCAACTTGGATGGCCTTCCTGACGGCGCTGCTGCTGGCGCGGCCTCTGCCAGCGCAAAGAAGGCGGCTCCTGCTGCTGCTGCCGCTGCCGAGAATGGCGAAGTTGGTGTCACCCCGGTCAAGCGCAGTCGTGGTCGCCCCCCCAAGAAGGCCCTAATGCTCACCCCCGGCAACGGTGGCGACGAGGACGCCGCCCTTTCCACCCCAGGCACTGCTCTGGGAAACCTGGACCTCGGTGACATGACACCTGATACCCCCTCCAAGAATGGCTCTGGCGTGAAGCGTTCCGCCGAGGACGCGAACGATCCCGACGCGATTCTCTTCGAGGAAACTCCCGCGAAGAAAAAGGCCACGCCGCGCAAGCGGCTCACTACCAAACAAAAGGCCGCGTTGGCAACAGCAGCTGCTGCTGCTCCCATCGACGAGCCGGTCAACGGCGCGACTGGTGCTGGCTTTGTGCCTGCTTCTTCTCCCGTTGGTGATACCATCAATGGCGGCGACAACAGCAACATCGACGTTGCCATGCAAGGTGTCTCAGAGCTTGAGGCTATCGCCGACACTCTCGCTGCTGATGATGCGGCCGACGCTGCTCATCTTGTTGGTGGTATTGACCCTGACGAGATCTAGGTAAGTGCTCCTGTCGTCCCACTTCCTCTGTCTCCCCTCTATGTCCTTGATATGTTGGACGGTCGCTAACGATATTGGGCGCAGAGTCTCGCTACAAAGCACCAACTGCGACAGCCGGTACCGTGCCTTCTCGCGTACGACCGATAACTAGGTGACCTACGGCCTCAACATCCAAGATTTCGCTTCTTGTCGCTCCTTTGTGGTTGAGGTTTTCCTTGATCATATCCTGGCGTCTCTTTTGGGATTTTGCTTTGGCTCTTGGAATTCCTCTGTTTTTTGCTTTCCAATCTTGGAGTTGGGACTTGGGTTTAGACATTTGCTTTCCCGGTGTCGGTCAATAGTTGGTCATTTTCCGAGGGTCGCTTTTACTTCTGGTTTGCTGGTACTAGAGTTGGGTTGTCGCTTTGGTCGGTTCCCGGTTTCGTACGTTGGCTCGGCGCTCTTGTTGGTCATCGCATTCATGTTGATCACGCTCGGAGTCTGGAGGTTCTTCTTTGGCGAGGATAAAGGTCTTTGCTTCCGTGTAAGAATAGAGTCGGTTGCCACGATGCAACAGATTGGTTTTCACGATTGACACCATTCTGTTGCTTTCTCTTGTACTTGTTTGGCGACGGATATGCTGCGTGGTGGTGGATGAAAAAACGATGGAATCTGTCGACTTCCCGTCGCGACAATAGCAAAAGGAACGTTGTCACTGAGAAGAAAAAGAAAAATAAAGTTCACAGTCATGACTGCCAGCTATCGTGATGTCAGCCAGTGCAATTTCCCAAGGTACATGTATGTCAAGGCCGAGCACAACCTGTGTGTTGGCCGCGGAGTGCACCTTCCCACTGCCATGCACTCTCTGTGCCATAGCCCCTGAAATTGACCCACTTTTTCTTTTGCTTGCGCAGCGACAGACGTTCGGTGGACACTCGTTGGTTACTTGACCAAAACAAGCATTTACTGCAGAAGAGCTTTGTACCCATGAATAAATCTGTTGAAACTTTCATAACAAGCAATTACAAGCACAGAAGCTTCTGGTGCAGGATGTAATGCTTGTTCAAATGCAGCGCACCTGTCGGGGCAAAAACTTGGCATGTGGACTTTAGCGGGGCCAATGCTTAGTCGCTACGGGCAGGCTTAACTGTAATGAACAATGCCACACAGGCTCGTCCCTGACAAATTTCTTGAGACCAGGTTGACTTGCCGAATGACCATGAGAATAAACTGAAATCGTAACAGGTAGTACAGTAGACCATGGGTAATACTTGTCATGCATCTAAGCATCTTCGTGATACCTTTGACCCTAATTTTAAGGCAATTATTGGATGAAAATATCCCCAAGGAACCCTAGTCAATGTCTTTTTCGATTTCCTGTAATCCTCATTACAGCATTGTAACGGCCTTGATCCTCATCCGCCAAGGATACGGCCAAAGATCTCATCAATTCTGTCATGGACAAGACAAGTACAACACGGCTGCAGGTTGGAAGCAAGTCACATGTATCAAAGTCACTTCCATTTTCAAGAGAAAAAAGTAAGGAGAAAGCATCAGTGATTCGATCCTCAATACCTCACCAGTCGAGGTTCTATCAAAGCTATCCCATCCATGAGTCCTGCAATACTGTGAATGAAGAACGATCTGTCCATACTGGTAGAGAACCAGACTAGACCATGAACCATTTCTATTCTATAAGCCAGCAAAACCCCGAAGGATGCTTAATGCCAAACGCCACCAGACCAGACCAGACCCAGCAACAAATCCTTTGCGCCTGCTAATCCTTTTACTTCCAACTCCATGCCATATAAACAAAAGCCGAAAGTAGAGGTGAAAGTGCTCCAGAGATGTCGAATGTGTTGCAAAGCCAAGTATCGTAGTATCCGTTACCAACCATGTCCATCAGATGTCAATGCCGGCCAGCGAAAATATGAAAAGTCCGATAGAGTCCAATCCATGTCCGTGTCCATAAAACGTTCCGTGAGTCGTATGCAGATCCGTTATTGAGTGAAGAAGAGGCGAGAAGACTACCGTCTGTCCATCCATGTAACTCATGCCCGTGACCTTCAGATCCATTGCCGATAGTCGAAGTCAAAAGTTAACTGGGACTTCCTGCAAAAGGTTCCGATGGTAGGTTGGGGTTGAGCTAGACAGCAGCAAGCAGTCCATGGCGAGATATCCACGGACCATCGCAGCCGCGACGGACGACATCCAACCCAGCAGAGATTAAATCTCATTAGGGTACATGTAGTCATCAACACTATTTCACTGTTAGCATCCTTACTTTCCTCTCCCCTTGACACAGGACAGTCAGCAAGGTACTCACCCATCATCATACTCCTCCTTCACCTTGCTCTCCTCCGTCTTGAGCTTCTTCTCCGGAGACTCCTTGATGTCGTCCTCGTCGTCCGAGTTGATCACCAAGGGAGCAGTCTTGGCAGCAGCAGCCTTCTTGCCGCGACCGGTGCCGGGAGTCTTCTTGACGCCGCTGCCGGGAGCAGCGCGCTTGCGGCCCTTGGTCGGGGTGGACGTGTTAGCGCCGCTGTCAGAGGCGACCGCAGCGGAAACGCCTTCCTTCCGGCGGAGTTTCTGGAGGTGCTGCCTGTGGAAGAGAAGGTGGTTAGTATGGTTGTATGATCACATATGAAGTGGTCAAGCTGAAATGAATGATAAGGCAAAGCGCGAACGAATAAAGCGATAGAAAAGCAGAGGCAAAAGAAAGATGGTTAGTAGCAGCCTACTTCACGGCCTTGGGTGTGCAGCCATAACCCAACGTATTCATGCGCGCTGCAAGATTTCTGTAGGTCTCCTCGCCGGGAACAATCTCATCAACGACGCAGCCGATGAGGTGCTTGTCGGCATTGTGGTTCCACGACATTCTGGTCTCGGCGACCTTATCGGTTTCCGAGTCCACCATGATGGATGAGGCTGGAGAGCAGACGTGGTGGTGCTTGTTGTAGGAGGTGGTGGGAAGTAAGTTGGAAAGTGAGTTGCGCGAGGGAGGGAGGAGAGATGTGGCCCAAACCGGCAGAAAAAATGTATAGGTAGTAATGAAAAGAGGGGCCAAGGGGAGGATAAGGTGACCGCCCACCCGAGTGGAATGCGGCAGAAAAAGCGGCAAGAACGGGCTTGAATTCTTACAGCACTGCAGTTTGTGTATATGTGTAGCCTTTTCTAGCAACGCGCTGCAGAATCCTGTCCCACTGGGGCTTCGAAGGAAGCGCCTCAATCATGACGGCCTGGAGCAGCGTCAGATGGGCATCGTGATCCCAGTTGGTGGGCTTGGAAGCCTTGGCCACGTAGAACTGTGCTTCGTGGTCCTCTTCCTCCATCTTGAGGCTGAGAGCAGCTTGATTCTTTGCGAAACGGAAGCACAAGGCGAAGCTCTGGGGGCTGGTGGTTGTGCTGGTAGTGTGTTCTTGTTACTGCTGCGATGGTGTTGATGGAGATGTGAAAGAGTTGGAGAGCGAGGAGGGAGGAGGGAGGGAGAGAGGAGGGATCTTTATACTCCATGAGGGAGCAAACGAAAGCGAAAGGTGATCATCTCGGTTTCGTCTCAACGTACAATAGAGCGCCATCTGTGAAGGTGTGGCCCTTCTGGACATGAAGGAGCTCAACGATCTCCTTCATGTCAGCTGCCGTGGGACGGAAATGCTCAAACATCGCCAACATGATGTCCTCGTGAGTCTTTTGATCCCATCTGGTCAAGTTTCGCTGCGCAGACCGCTGCGAAGACATGGTGACTGAGTTGGATATGTTGGTTGTGTTGAGTTGGGATGATGGAATTGGTGAGCCGGCAACAATGGACCGTGTAGGTTGCTGGGGAGAAGGAGGGAGAGAGGAGCGGGACCAGAAGGGGAGAGAACTTATAGCACAAACAAACAGTGCTGGATCAAGACCAGCTGTGGGTGGATCTGGTACCTCCGAGTTCGCAAAAAAAAAAAAAAAAAAGAAAAAAAAAAAAAAAGAAAAAAAAGAAGACGCCCGCCTGCTATAATAATCACATACCTAATGGCATTCCATTTCATACCATACGGTTGCATGGACTTCTCGATCGAGACCTGCATCTCCGGGGTGATCACGCCAGTAGCGTTCATGTACGCGCGGAAGAGATCATCGCGGATTTCCTCCCACTTGGGCATTTTGATTGCAATGCGAGGACTTTCCGTTGATGTGAAGTAGGTTTTTGTGGAAGGGTGAGAGAAGGGCGAGGACGATGCTGGGTCTTTGTGTGTTTGAGGGAAAGGGGAGAGAACTCGGATACAGCTAGCCGGAAGAAAGGAGGGATTTTATAGCATCGAGTTTGCCAGCCACTTGGCGAGATAAGACGATCAAACTGGGTAAGGGAACGAGCACCAAATCGGTTCACCGCATGTAGCTTACCGGAGCGCGTCCCATCCAATGTCATGGCCTTTGGATCGCATGGCCTCGACGACAAAGTCCTGTGTTTCCTTGGTCATGCTGGGCTGCAAGGCGTTGTAGAGGGTGATCATCAGATCGATATGGGTCTGCTCATCCCAACGCGGCATTTTGCGATGAATTCTCGGAAGGAAGGGCTGGGTGGTGGGACAAAAAGTTGAACCGTTTGTAGTTGTAGCGTAGATAGCGCAGAAGTTTCGTGGGTGTGGTGAAGGTGAGAGAAAAGGACACGACAGGAAGGGGAAGACGCGTTTCTGGTAACATTGAAAAAAAAAAAAAAAAAAAAAAAAAAAAAAAAAAAAAAAAAAGACCAAGCAAACAAAACGCGGGCGGTACAGCTGGAAACCCAATGAGAACACACGTATCACACTCACCGGATTGATTCCCACGTAAAGCCATCGAGGCCACACGCCTTCATGACGGCCATAATGAGGTCTTTCTTCTGCGCGGGACTGCTTCCAGCAGCAATCAGGGCCTCGGCGAGAGCTACGCAGAGAGCTGAGTGTGCATCGTTGCCCCACTTGCTCTCCTTGGGGATCTCGTCGGCATTAGACATTGTGACGAGTGTTGTTGGGCGAGAAGCGCGTAACACGGTTCTGTTGACTGGCTTGTTGAGTTCAACGTGAGCAGCAATGGGCTGATGGCTAGAGGAAGACCAGATAGTTGAGGTTGATCTCGAGAAGTTGATAAACCGTGGAAGATGTGGGGGAGGGGGAGGAGGAGTGATGGGAGAGCTTGAGATTGTTGTCACATTATATACCCGAAAGAGGGGAAGGAAACCCGACTCGCTATGAGAACACTGTTATCACATTTCATCACAGGCAACGAATAGGAAACGAGAGATAACAAAACGGGTGACTTATACCGAAACGAATATCTCAGGCCCTAAAACGCATAGAAAAAGCCGTACTCGTTGCGAATGTGATGCTCGTAACCATCCTGCAAAACAAGTCGGAGCGGGCAAAATACAATAGTCGACGTCGAAAACGTACTCGATACCTGCTCGATAACTAAAACACACACCAACTGCCACCTCCTGACACGTTCGGAGGGGGGGGGGGGGGGGGGCCGGGACCAGATACCTATAGCCGAATCACAGAATCCCATTAAACACAACCAGAAACGCCCATCAACCACCTTCCCTTACCGCATACCTGCCCGCAATCACGGTTGCTGGGACCTTAAGCCTCTTCGTAGTTGAAGCTTGAAGGAAATCTTAGCGCCGCAACGGCATAGGTAGGTGAGGCGTTAGACAGGAGGGGCAACGTAAAGATCAACTCACTCTGGCGCAAAGTGTGCGGCGGTTGATGCTGGGTCGTTGTGGGCGGCCAAGGCATTCAGCACCGCCGCGTCGTCCAGAGGGTCCTGTTCCATCTTGCGTCGCTTGTTGGGGTGCTGCTGCTCGTCGTTGTCGCCATCCTCGAGGCTAGGGTCCACGGCAACATCATCTCCATCAGCCGACTGTCCGCCAGATTGAGCCTGGACACCCTGGTTAGCCGGCCCTTGACCGCCAGCCTGGTTCCCGCCTCGTCCATTTTGCTGGACGCGGGCCTGCTGAGCCTGGGCTTGGTTATGAGCCTGAGCTTGCGCGTGAGCTTGAAGTTGAGCCTGAGCATGCTGCTGCTGTGCGTAGGCTTGGGCTTGGGCTTGGGCCTGGGCCTGGGCCTGGGCATGAACCTGGGCCATGGCAGCAGGATGCATACCACCGGGCGGAACGGGCATGCCAGGAACAACGGGGACGGGGATCGCGGTGGTGCTCTGACCGGGAGCACCAGGAACAACCGGGGGAGGGATCGGGGTAACACTGGGGCCGGTGGTTCCCGTCTCGGAAACCGAAGCCGTGCTGGCGGGGGACTGCCCCTGGGCCGTGTTTTGCTGCTTCTTAGGGCGACCACGTCCAGGTCCCGGCCTCCTTGTGATTGGGTTAAGAGTGGGATCTACCCTCCGGTTGGGGTCAGGGGAGGCAGTTGCAACGCCGCCTTCGCTCTTATGCTGGGCACGGCGAAGGCCTTGGAAGTGTTGTCTGCCGTGGGTAGGTTAGCTCACAGTTCTTGATATGCACTGGCGGCAAAGGAAGCCGGTTGAAGCATGTCATGGCGAGGTAAGTAGTTGATGGAGAACAAAATGATTGTGTATATCCATGTCTATCCATCCAACAACATGGGGAATCATGTAAAGGATTGTTAAGGGATGAACAATGGATTAGGGTAGTAACAATGACCTCTTGCCAACCTGATTTATCTAGGCGAAACCTCAACATGTTTATGCAGTCTTGATGCATACAGACAGGCAAAGACGATGGATCGATGACGAGGAACACAAAACAACAGAGAGAGACAGAAAAGACAGAGAAGACAGTATCAAGGCCAGTATTCAACAGGAATACAGGATCCCAAAAGATAATCATCATGTAGTTTGATGACTTGGCACGCGAGTCAAAGTCCTTGTTGACTTGAGGTTTGTTATGGAGATAACACGAATAACACGACAACAAAAGCACTTACCGGCATCCCTCGTTGGTAAAGCCGTAACCCATGGCGCGCATGGTGTTGCCGATGGTGATCCATTCCGAGCCGCTGATGACGCCAATGTTCTTTACATTGAGAATGGTAAAGAAGAGGTCCTTGTCGGCCCGGTCGTTCCAGTTCTTGTTCATGTCTGTTAAGGACGCGATGGCAGAGGCGCGGGCGAGGCGATCGAGTGGTAACAATTGCGATGGGCTGGACGGGACAGCAGTCATGAATTGGTCGAGTGCGAGTCCACGAACGAGATAGGGTTGATGGCGAAATTGCTAAGGTCTGCTAAGGAAGGATGGCCTTTTCAGTGTGTCCTGCCCACGTTCCCAAACCAAATCAGCCACGGCTGCAACATTCAACCGAGCCCGGTAATCCAATGGCGTGATTGGTTCATGTTGTGCACATTATGGGGAGAGGTAAGGGTGCTTTGGATGATGATTGGTCGAGCCAGGGTCTAAGTGCGGGGGTCCGTGCATATCTAACATCGGAAGAGACCACAGAGAACTGAAAGTTGTTGCCTCAGGCTTCCCAAAACACTTGGTTCTGCCTGGCGCTGTGGCACGCACGCATCAAAGAGGGGACGGGAACAGAACGAAACACACACAGGCACGACACGGGGAGACTCGGAAGGACTTGGATCATTGGACAAAAAGGTCCAGGACACAGGACAGGGGGAACTGGAGAAATTGTGAGTGGATCGTCTGATCAAGTGACTTGGCGCCAGCATCGCGCGGAAGACCAGCCACAGTGCCGATTGCGACGCGCTGTTACCACGTAATTTTCCAGGACCTCCAACGTCCCGCGCCCCAAGTTCCCAAACATTTCATCTCATTCTGGTTCCTGTCATCGCCCCCTTGATCAATGCCACCCTCTCAAACCATCTGCGCCTGCTATCTGTCCGTTTCCGGCGAGATGGGAGAAAACATTTCACAACGCTGGAGTCATAGGTCTAATTCCGACGAGGTTCTTCTTAGATTCATTGCAAACAACTTTGCTTAGGCAACAGGATGGCAAAAAGCTGCGAGCGAGGTCTTCGGTGTAAGTTCGGTTTTCTATCAGGTACGGTACGACTCCCGTCTGGTAGTATTCCTCCAATGAGGGGGTAGAGGTATCTATGGACACAGAGCTATCAGGTACCTAACCAGCAGGCATCTGGCAGCTACCTGGTCTCAACCATGCAGTGCCCACCAATTCCAACATCTCAGCTTCCATCTTTCCCCTCCATTGATCAGCCTTTCTCCGTTCCCGCTCGAGTCTCCTGTCCTGCCCGGTTACAAGTCAACTCTCTCACCAATCAACAAGAGACACTCCTTTCTCTTCGTTTGGCTCTCGTCCAACTCGCAGTCGAGTGACTCATATTATAGTCTCACTGTCTTGCTGCCTTTTACTCTTGCCGTCCCTGGATCTCATTCCCGACGTGCATGGCGTCCGTCCGCTGCAACCCCACCAACACCACCCACTGTACGCGACCTTGGATGGGGGATAGCAAAAACGAACAAAAAATCGAAACGAGGCGACGCGGCGTCACCATGCCCTTAGTGTTCAAATGATCCTTGTCTCCTGTTTTTACTTCTTTGAATGTCGTACTTGATTCGCAACCATGTCGTGTCTCCCTCCCGTGTTTCTCTCCCACTCTCATTGTATCGCCTCGTTTCCAATTCGGGAAAGTTGAAAGCAAACAACATTTCTTCTTTGGCAGGACAACGGGCCGGAAGGTGTGTGGGCTAGCCCGTGCCTGGTGGAAGGCGATATCTTCGCTCTTACCTTACCTGCATGATACCAATACCAATAGCTAGGTACCTCTACCTCCAAGTGGCCTGCCTATCTGTGATGCTGGCGCCCCATTCCATGTCAGGATCGACTGCCCTTTCCTAGCAACGCTGATTGCTGCTCATTGAATCACTCAATGCTGCCCTTTGCAAACAGGCTTTCATGCACCTTGCACCCATTCCAGCGGTTTCCCCCGAAATCTCCTTTATCTCAATGGCCATGGAGGGGTGACTGCCCGGCCGTACTCTACTCACAGGGAAAGGAAGATTGAGAGGACGCCATCTGCCTCGGGTTGCTGCCGGTACACGATACTGCTCCTTGCTACCAACATCTTCTTTAGTACCGAGACTACTGTAGTGCCTGGTACCGTGACACAAGACGCACGTTGCCTCTCCGACCAGCTGCCATCCTCGCCCCGTATTGACTTGCCTACCGTTTTGGTGAGACAGACATAAACCTTCGTTCCCCTCCAACAGCCAGCCCTGTCTACTAGTATCATGCTTCATCCACACCCTCAACACCCTGTCCACTATCGCTCGAGTTACATTATCTTGACTCACGCCCCCACACCTCGACAGCGCCCGCGCACCGGCTACAGTGGGTAATTCTGACCGAAGCCAAGGCTGCCTTGCTGCTGAATGGTTGGACAAGTCTCAGCACTCCCAGCGGCTAATAGTACATATTGTGGCTGCCCCCTCCTCGCTTTCCCCCAGACTTTCGCTTTTCTCGCCGTTGGCTGGCTTTGAAACCACCTTCCAGAAACCAAGACGACATCCTCAGGCATCAGGAAGGGAAAGCTAGTCCGGTCATCGCCAATATGTCTGCTACCGAAAATGCCATGGCGAGGTTCTTGTTCGCCATCCTCCAGCAAAAGTCTCTGAAGGATGTGAGTGACTACCTCTCCCGTCTGTATGCGTACCATTGGGGTGGCTGTCCGAACTCTGTTTGGCTGACTTGAAATTGCCTCTACAGATCGACTGGAACGAGGTAGCCGCCAGCCCGTTTCTCTGCCAGAAGATATCGAACGGCCATGCCGCCCGCATGCGTTACGCGCGATTCCGAGCCTCCATGCTAGGCACTCAACCCCGACCGAGAAATCATACGAATACCGACGAGAATCGAGTTACAAAGGCCAAGAAGAAGGTGGGAGAAAAGCCAAAGAAAAAAGCAATCAAAGTTGAGATGGAGAAGGAGGATGAAGTGTCCAAGAGCAAAGCCGCATCCGCGACGATGCCATCCCCGCCTCTCAAGGACGAGAAAGATTTCGTACCTCCCGAACCGTCAACCCTCGACCGTGTGTATTCCACGCCGACCTCCATGGCCAATCCCACGTCCGACATACAATCCCGAATGCAAATGCGGTTCCTCACTCCCTGCAGCGACTCGGATGCTCATACGGCGTCACCTCACATCTGTACCCGGGCAGCGGTCACGGCATGCCCCACCGAGATGCTGCTCGGCCATCCAGACACCCCCTTCTCTTTCACCACTGGCTCGTCGACCACCACCACCACCACCATCACCCCCACCGGACCCTGGCAGTCCACTTTACCTGCCTACGCTAGCTATGGAATGGGATACGAATTGGATACCTATGCCATGGCTTTTGGTGTAAGCGACTCTCAGCAGAACGAACAGCATGCTGCTGAGCAACTTCGGGTACACGCTACCATGATGGAACATGAGGACCAGACCGGCATGATCAAGCAGGAAGACTGGGATGCTCAGCGGTATCAGGGTTGATGTTGAGGGGGGCCAGTGCCGGTCACTACTGAACAATTCCGGGATGGATACGGACATAGAATGACTTTTTCCTTCGTTGTTCCTGCTTCTGTTGTCTGTCTCTATTTTTTTTCTTTCTTCTTTGGGTACAAGGGCTTTGGATATCTACATTCTGATATCTACAAACGGCCTACTACTCTTCGAATAGCTATGGATGAATATTTGGGTTTTGGGTTTCATGACGGGCGGTCGGTTTCCCTTGGTCATTTGCTTTGAGTGTTTACCCCTCTTGTCCTCTGCTTGATGGATAGCAGCTTTCTTATCTTTGCTGGCATCTGTCTGCCATTGTACGATTAGAGGTTTAACGAAGATAATGAATGATGGTTACTATTGAGGTACGTCCTCGCATGCCCTTTGGGTGTTAGTCCTCTTTCATGTTTTTGAAGGCCGGGCTGATTTTCCGGGTATAATTTCGAAAGTGTTCAACCAGGACACTCGGTGTTTTCGCCTTGTGGCGCGGTGTTCAAGGTCACCATGACAGTCGTTCTTGTCTCTCTGGTTCCAACAGAACACTAGGTATGGTACACCACTGGCTTGCTTACTCCCCGGAACTTTTCCAGCTGTCAACCATATATGCCCACATTGTCAGCCTCAAACCACCCATTATCACACAGTTGGGTCAAATCTCTCTATTTCAAAAGTCTTTGCGTAATCGCTTCTAATTTCATACCTACCTAGTTGTATTCCTGCTTCCGCCCCCCGCAACTGAAGTTTGCAAGTGCAAGAAAAGTACTTCGTCACAGCCAGTGCTTTTTGACAGGAGGAAAGAGCACCCCACTCTAACTTCCTACTTGTATCTTCAGGAATTTTAAACTTGGCTTGGCGACGGGGGGCATTTCTCTTTTCTCAACCGCAATCATAAGGTACCTACACATACTATGACTCGCTCTGATCCCACGCACCGACTTTCAGTACACGTCGGTTCGTTCCGCATACTTCTTTTCTAGACGATTTCCAACCGTCAACCCACATGCCCATGTCGCGGGCCCCGAGCCTCCAAAAATCACACGGCTTAAATAAGCCAATGCCTCCAAGGTTATTGCTATATACCGGGTATGCTTATCCTTTTGCTCTGCGGCCGTTTCATCCATCTCCCTTGATGCCTAATGTCTCCCTCTTCCGCTCCTCATAGGCTTACAGGCGCAAGTCAGTGAATCACCACCAACCATCATGGTCACTGTTCGTCCGCTCGTCCGTCAGCTTGGCCCATCAGTACCTCGATGCCACCTTGGCTAGCCACAGCTGGCCCCCCACATTATACTCTGGGACAGTTCCATCAGTTTACGGCGCTTGACCACCTTCCTTCCCATACTCGACCGCCATGGCGTTCACTGCGAGCCTGCTATCTGGCCTGACAGGCCCGTAACCGCCCTTCCGATCCACGTAGCGATACCAAACCTTATCGAACTTCTCGAAGAGTGATCCATACTAGCCAAAGCCTAAGGAAATTCCAAAATCTGGGCCTGCCGAGGTTTGGCGTGGGTCAAGTTCCGATCCTCCCCAGTTACCACGATAGCCCGCGTATTCTTGCTTTGGCTAGCTCGAAACACAACAGTACACTAAGTCGGGTCATGATCAAATCTGAAGATTGTCAAGTCAGGTCTCCCGGTTTTATGGCGTTTCCTTGGCTGTCCGGGTGAAGGTACGGCAGCCCTGGGTACGCTTCTCGCTGACAACCGTCGCCAAACTGGTGGCCTTGTGGGTAAATCCAAGCTAAAATTTTGGGATCTGCTCTTCTTTCGTTCTTTCCTCCTCCTTCTTCTCTCCTCCACGTCGTCGTCCACCTCCTCAAACAGTACAATGACAACGACAACAGCGACTACGACGACAAAAGCAGAAGACAGTCAGCCAAGCAATCGTCGCAAAGATTACGCTCTTGGGCACCCCAAATCTCGAGCACAGGTAGTTCTCTTTTCCAGACTCTTGCTTGCCGAAGCCTACCCGATCACGATGAGCCAACTATTTTGCTGCTCAGGCGCCATAGCTCTTCTTTTCCCTGTCGGCTACTCGCCAACAACAACATCAGTGTGCAAGATATCAATAGGCGAGAAGCATTTCACTACGTCAGTATACATTTGAGTGGCCCCGTCATTTCCAGGCAAGCGCCCTTTGTTGGGATTCGCTACCGAACAAATTCGCCAAATTGGTGAACCAGACTTGCATTAGTTTTCCTTTCAGAGCACCCAACGTTCAGCATGACAAGGAGCAGCTGCCAGCACATGTGCCACTTCAGCTAGTGAAGCTCTTCGAGATTACTCATAGCACGCAATACTCCTACTCGCCAGTGCTTCAACTTACAGGCTCGAAATTTGTTCCCTGTAGCTCTGCCAGCATGATTTGGCGCAGAAAGAAAATCTTTCCGCAAGTCTAGTGTGTCAGTCCGGTATATCTGGCCTTTGCAACCACTGCCCTTCACCAAATTTTCTTCAGCAACCCGTTATTCTCCCGCATGCTTGCGGCGTCATGTCACTCAATTCACCATACTCACCGAACTCGCCAACGAGTTGTCGTCCGTATACCGTTGGCAAAAATTCGAGTAATCGCCGCTGAGTAGCTCGTGGAGGAAAGGAAGTCCCCGGAAGGCATGCAACCTGCGCTTGACGCTGGCCAGCATACAATCAATGCATTCAAAGCAGGCTTTCAAAATCCGGGAAATTCGGAAAAGGTCAACGCAGGGTTAAAGCTTCGCCATGCGCATTACCATCGGCATACACGCAGCTAAACGCGATCACCAAACCTTTAACCCTACAAAATCCACACGCTTACATCTGACCTCTTTTCTGGATTTCCAGAGTTCATACGGTACACACTAGGTGTACAGATCAACCAGACTACGTTTTTACTGGACACGTGGTGTCCAAAATTAAGGCGTTCGAATGATTAAGGTACTATAACCTTTAGAAAGTTACTCATGCTTATCTACTCGGCTCCAAGTTCGTCCTTTTTTTTCGACCTTCGCAGCCGATAACGCTGACCGTGGCAATCAACAATATCAATAAGTATCTTCTAAGTTGCTCGCATATCCATCCACACTTTTATTTCCCCACTATTGCCAGTACCTTCTCTGTTCCAACCTCTTTCCCGACTTCCGCAGACTCGAACGCCAACAGAAGCAACATATCATGAACTACCATGAAAACCATCTACTGAAAGCTATCACTCAGCACTTCCTATTCTCCAGCAATCTTACAAACCTGTCAGACCACCTAATCTCTCAAAACTCGGCTCGACCACGCCTCAGGCCTTCTCTAGGGTATCACCAAACAACACCACGTCTCGAAAAATATCCCGATACCTGCTACAATGTCACCCAAGTCTTCTAAAGCTTCCAAGGTTGCGTTCAGCCTGACGGGTAGCGACTACAAGCTTTTGTGTGGGGTATTTATCAATGGGGAGAAGATCAAGTACGATCTAGCCAGTGTCACCGCATATATGGGCTCGAAAAGTCAAGAAAGTACCCAGGTATGTTACTTGCTCTGCTTTTGCTCGATGTTTATTTGCTTTGTCCCCCAGGAACATGTCGCCAAACAAAGAAACTTGTAGGGTAAGCTCAGCTTCCTTGCTTGTCACATTCCAGTCACTCGACGTACATTCCAATGAAGCAAGGTTACATTCCATGGTCTTTTTCCTACCTCAACCAACCATTATTGCAATATCCAGCAATCCCGAATCTTGGTTTGCACTTGAACCCATTCGAATATTTTTCTATTTTTTATTTTTACATCACCATCGATCTCGGATTGCGGTCACAATCAAAGTTCTTGCAACTTTTCTCGATCTTATCCTCATAAATATATTGTCGGCGTTCGCATAGTGCTCAGCTGTTTCGGTGTTCCCATGAAATGGATTCGCCGACGGCTACTATGCTAAAGCGATCCTCGACGTCCACCAGCTGATCTGGCTTTCATTTGCATTATCGAGATTTTTTTTTTTTTTTTCAAAGCAATCTGACACTTGGTAGTATTGATGCCTGGAGAATATGCACTAATCTTCATTGCAAAATAGATTCGCGTTAATGCACTCTTGAGGAAACTTAGGCGCGATGGTTACGAAATCGCCGAAAAAACGGATGCGGAGGCCAATGAAGCCATACGGAATGCGGTAGCCCCGGCCTCATACGTTAACCCGCGAAAGCGTGCCCGGGAAGACAACGAGCGTGACAATGAGAACCACAACGTCAATAACCGCCACACCCCCGGCTTCTCATCGTCTTCTTTGTCTGCGCAAACCCCCAGGCTTGCCCTGCCGCAGCAACAGGGCCAGCAACAGCGCCATTACCAGCAACCCCAGAAACATCACGAAATCCCTTTTGCTGCTTACACCCACGGCCCCCGAGAGTTCTCGGTACCGGCCGAAGCCCACAAGTATGAGACCCCCCCGCCGCCCTACACTCGCCTTGACACTGCCGGTACTTGGGTGATGACCACTGCTCCGGTCATTAACTCGAGCAATGCTGTCAACCAGGGTATGGGCGTAGGCATGGCCATGGGGTCCCTCTCTGGAGCAAAGAGACTCAGAAACGGATTTCGACAAGAATTGGACGGCGATGACTTTCCACTTGGCACCCATCATGTTGGAAACGGATTGACCTTTGGTGCTCCCACTCGCTCAGCTCCCCTGGCCTACTCAAGCGACGCCAGGAACGGTTTTGGGGTGCACGGCAACCAGAACAGCAACCGATTCAACAGTCTAGATGAAGGCTACATGGGAAAGGTTGACACGGTGAACGGCAGCGCGATGGGCTTTATTCGGCCTAACAGCCTGGGCTACAACCTTTCTGTGAATAGCGCGACCTTCTACAACAACAACCTGCGTTTGGGGGATACCTTACTAAGTCTGGTGGACAATGACTTAGCCAACGGTTTGAACGCAATTCCCGGAAACTCTAGCAATGGCGCTGCGGTGGATCGTGGCGTGCAACACAATTCCTTCAACCCTCGCTTCAACCACCCAACTAACTCAAACGAAATCTCGGTGAGCGTTCCTATTACTACGATTCCGCATCCCGTCAAACCTGTCTTTCAGCCAGGCTTCCAGCCCACCCAGAACGTCCAGGTGCCCAATCACCAGATTGTCAACTTGAACGTTGACTTCCTCGGCGAGGATGGGCACGAAAATGGAATCACGGCGGCTGCCACCCAGCCAAATGGAGTACAACCGGAAGTGATCGTGTCTAACCTCGAGCAACTACCTGTGCCCATACCCATGCCTGCCGCTGAAAGAACGCCCGAACGCCCACCCACACTCGTCAATACAGCCGCAACCATAGGAGATGCAGACCCGATCATACTCCAGCAGCAGCAGGAGCAAGATCAACCACAGGAGCAACAGCGGGCACCAGAGCAACGGTCTTTCCAAGAGGAAATTAATTCTTGGGATCCCCTGTTCAATCAGGATCATCAGGAGCAAGTACCGCAAGGAGGGTTCGATTCTGTGGAAGCCCAGGTCTTCTCTGCAATGTCTGCTGAGGAATATGGTCTCGATCACCTGGACCTATAGTGTTAGAAAGTCAGGGATCGGGGCCTTGCTCCGCTCAGCTCATGCAGTGGCAGGAGTCAGCAAGGAGTATAATGATGGGTTGTTCTCCTATCAGTACCTGCTTCTCTGTTTTCGGCTTTCTGGTTTACGACTTACGACTTTACGAATTACGATTTTCGATTACGTTACGATTACGATTACGATTACGATTACGGTTTCTGGTTCTCAAGAATCTCAGTTTGTTTCATCTCGTCTCGTATTTGATGTTTGCTTATGGGCGTTGTTGAGCCTTAGCGGTTGGGAAATTTGGGATTTGGAGATGCCCAAGGTATAGAACGAGCGTGCCCCAAGGCAGTCTGGTGGAAAACCGTATGAAGTTGCGGTTTCAGTTTTTCATTTCCTTTTCGATTTCACCCATCTTATCATTCAAACGGCTTCGGATCTTACCATGGTTACTTTTTCAGCGTAGGGCGGCTACTGCTACTCATTTGCTTTCGCTCACCGGACAAGACTTGGACATCGCTTAGATATCCTAGTCCGATGGTCCCAAGTACACAAAACATTTAGAGCAGGATACCATGAATAAGAACAACACATTATCCCTCTCAGCCCTCCGGGCAATTTTTCGTCGTCCCACGACGGGAAAATTCGACGCTGCAAGAGTGCGAAACTGCGCGCAACGGCCGAGGGACGATGCAAGTCCTTGTTGGTCATGGCAGAAGCTAACGTGGCCTTCTGCTTCTCAATGGCAATCGGCCACTGGGCCTCAGGGCGGTTGGCGTTCTGGGTCCGAAGGCCGCGAAGGCCGCGAAAGGCGTGAAGGGCCCCCTCCAGCTGCACATAGGTAATGTACCTCCGGTTTATGTATCACGGCTCACTTTGACAGAATATCTCTCGAAGACCTCATCTACCTCCCGTCGTCAATCCATTTCTCCTTGCCGACGCCAACGATCTCTTCCTCGTCAGCGACCTCAACGATCATGTCGCAGACTTCCTGGTCCTTGTTCCGATGGATTGCCTCCTCGGGAAGATGGCCACGATTATGTTGTCCGGCAGATCTCTCCCGTCCAGCCGTCGATCTATCTCGTCTTCGTGGTCCCAGCGATCATGTCCCTGACTTCCTGGTGGTCCAGCTTCTCGGGTAGATGGTTACGGGACGGTCGATCATACGGGCCGAGCCGCCTCACTGTCGCACTTGGCGATGGCGGGGCCTGGTGGTTTGGCAAGGTAGCCTTGTAAGTGAGTGGCTTGGCAAAGGCGTCGATATGTTTCCAACAGCGACGAAACGACGGGAGATACTCGATCCTGCGATTTCCGATTTCAAGACCAATTCTTGCAGGATCTCTCCGGACAGTCCTGTTCTTGCATGTTCCCTCGGGGCAGTTGGTTGGCGTTGTTGGCGTTGGCGGCGTTGGTGGCGCCTTACATCAGGGCAGTCCTTGACCATGTGGTCTCGTGGCCTGATGGCCTGGTGGCCTGGCAAAGACGTTGGTTCCGATCCAAAAGCAGGAGCTCAGGCTCATGTTCTGTCTCCTCCACACGCCAGGAAGAGGGCAACATCAAGTATATGCACTTTTCCAGCTGCTTTCACCAAAGCCGCTCATGGCCTTGCCACGACCCAACTTGCCGACAACCATGTGCGACTCCGCGTTGGTCGTGCTAGAAGCACCCATAGCAACATCAAGCAAGACACCATCTGGGTTGAGCCCTACCTGAAGAAGCAAGCTTGCCTTGATCTCCTCAACACGGTACCTCCCGGCCGCACCATCATTTTCGTCAACAACAAGCACGCTACGGATGAGCTCGACGACTTCTTGTTCAACAAGAGAGTTCCAGGGACATACTCGGTCTTCACAATTACCCGGCGCAGGAATAGTTCTTGCAGGTTTTCCCGGAATGGTCTCGTGGGAAGCAGAGTTGTCTTAGTCGAACTGAAACAGAAGTTCAGGCGGAGCAACAACGGTGAAGTTCGGGGACCAGTCCGATTTGGGCGCAAAGATTAGGCCAACACCACGAGTAACACGCTAAGGGCTCCCAAACCATCTGTTAGAGTGGCTGTGGTGGTCATGACCGGCAAGTCATTCGGAAGCTGGATGGTTTGAGTGATAACTGGGCCAGCACGGTCACGGTCACACGGATCCCGTAGGCCGCGAGGTCACATTGGCATCCGTTGCACTTGGACATGGCTACTCTGGCTGAATCATGCAATCCATGTGGATGATGGTGCGGCCTGGCGGCCTGTTGGCCCAGTGGCCAGTTTGAGGCAAACGCATTGGTTTGCCTGTATCTCCCAGCAACGGAGGGGCAATAATCAGATCTTGCACTTCCTCGCCTCAGGGTCAATTCTTGCAGGTTCTCCTCTGGGCAGTCCTTGACCAGTCCTTGACCAGAAAGTTTGTTCAGGTGAAGGTGGCCGAGGCCAAGCTGGTCCGCGAGGAAGATTGCGCCGAAGCGAATCGGTTGAGGTCTCGCTTTCCGTTTGAAAGATTGGAAAGACCACTGTGGCCGAAACAAATAGTACGACCGATTCGGTGAGTATACTCCTCCATGTTATCAAGATGCTGACTGTCGGCAGGTCGTCGTTGTCGATGAAAGCATTATCGAAGCCATTGTTGTCGAAGCCAGTGTTGTCGAAGCCGATGTTGTTGAAGCCGGTGTTGTTGAAGCCGGTGTTGTTGAAGCCGGTGTTGTTGAAGCCATTGTTGTCGGACCGGTGTTGTCGAAGCCGGTGTTATCGAAGCCATTGTTGTCGAAGCCGGTATTATCGGTCGTCGTCGTCGTTTGAGCCGTCCCTGTCGCAGTCCAAGCCGTTGCTGTCGAAACTGGAGCACATTGCCGACACCACTGTTGTCATCCCTTCTCGGATAATATAGCAGTTTCTCAATACTACGGGGACAGAGATCATCGAGCGAGGTTTACACTATAGCTCCTCTTTTGCGCCTCTTCCTTGTGAGGTGGTTTTCGCCGAAGTCGCGGTGGTTGCAAGTCAGGCCGAGATCATGAATGATGCCATAGACTGATCGGTCAATCCCGCGGCTATGGCTCTGTCGGTTTGACGTTTGCAACCTAGAATAACGAAGGCCACTGGGAGAGTAATGCAAGCCTGGCAAGAATACGCTACCGACGCCCGAATTATTACAATTGACGGTCATCGCGACTTGAACGACAATAAATAATCCAGCAGGATTAAGGGCATTCGCTATTTCTCTCCGGCGAAGGTCGCTTCAATTCTACCAATGAGCAACAAAATTGCATACCGCCAATGAATAATAAAGGTCAACGAGCAAATAACTAGACCACCTGACTAACACCGCACTCTCGTCGAGGTGCAAAGGCGTTTACTGTCGCTGCGTTCTGCGCGGTCTATTAACCTCGCCCGCTGAGGTCAAAAGGGCTTTGCTTCCGCCACCAGGTCAATCAGCAGCTCGTTCACAGGTCCGATCACCACCCCGGATGGCCACGGCGGCATTTCCCATGGTTCCGGCGGCCACGGCCACGATCCGGTCAGGAAAATCGTACCTCTAACAACACCAACCTGAAAGCCGGTAACCAAATGCAGACCCAGCGCGCGATCGGCCGCCCCGAAGCCCAGTGCCACCAGCGTTTAAAGGTAATCAGAGCCCCCAACACTGATGAGAACGGCACACATGCACCCATCGAGCGGGTTATTCCGACCAAACTTGAGAGCTGGGTCGAAGCAACACCATACCACTATGACGAATTTGCCAAACGCGAGACCGACTGGGACAGCCAAGCTTGCATTTACGAGGGGGATGGCGAAGAGGGCGATTCACATCTCTTGACCCTCACCAACACACCAACCTGGCTGGGCTTCGCTTCCAATACGCGCATCAACGGCACCAGCACCAGCACTCCATATGGCACTGGCACTGGCACTCCTATCCCACAGCATATTCGTCCATTGTCCGGACATGCTGAGGCTGTCGCTCTCTAGATGGGTTTCAGCTATCCAATGGGTGCCTTGACAACAGGGGAGGCCAGAATCGGCTTCAGCCTTGATAATCTTCGTATCCTCTGAGACGTACTGCTGGAGGAAGTTCGGAGTAGTCTGGCCCGCCGCCAGGAGACCATCTCAAGGAGATTGCCGGTGGGCACAAAGTCGAGATCCTCGTCACGCTCGGTGTAGAAAGAGGAAGCAAGACGTCTTTGGACCAATGCTCTCCTTATAGAGGGCCTGTCTGATCATGTGGGTACGGTTCACCATTCCCTGGCGTTGTGAATTTGGGGGTTCAGGTTTAGTTCCCACGAGGAATTGTGGGCGTAAACTCTACGGCCTCTGGCAATGATTTGTTGGACCTGGATTTGGAGCCAACCATCATGCAATATGTCCCGCATACCACTCAGATTTCTCCCTTGGCTCTCAACAGTGGCCATTTCTCTTTCCATGATCTAGACTTCGGGATCAATATGGGGGTCTCTGCCTTTCACTTCGATAAGGAGAGAAAGTTGGCTTCCTAGTTCCCCAGTTCGGCGCCTCGAATTCGCGACTGCTTCCGAGTCTCGAGAATCAAGGACGGGAATTTTACTCAAAAAATACGTCATCCACATTATCTCCGTTCTATCGGCTACTCCAGAGTCCCTCAAATGGTTGTTTTGAATCAAAGAATACCGTCTTCCCTAATTCGGTTCAGTCTACTCCTCACGCAACTCTTAATCGAGCACTCCATGATCTTCCTAATTACTAGGCTCAGGCACAGTCCGGCCTAACTATTGCGCCGATTAGTCCACACCAAACCCCGCGAGCATTTAGCTGTCGTCGACGCCAAGTGCACAAGGCTCAGCAGGTTGGCAGCTCCGGACTATGGGCAATGACAATATTGCTCCCTGAGCAGGGTGACCAAACTCCTTCACTTCCAGTTTCCGGTACGTATTCATGATGTCGATGGCCCTGGCCCCAGCACTAGCATGTCTAAAACTTCTAGTCGGAGTATTGAACGAGTGACTTCACGCCCTTCACTTTGTCGACCAAACGGTAGACCACCTACAGCCCCGAACCGTCGAATTACCAAACAGCCACCATCACCGACAACACCTCACGGAGAACCGAGCGATAACACAGAACCAGACACCTCTTACAGCCCAGCCTGTTGTTGATACGCCTACTCAGCAGCCAAGCGCCATCAGCGCACCGAATACTCAAGTACAGCCCCCAATCACTTCTGGCAATCTTACCTACCATGGCCTGGCTGACTCAAGGTTTGCGACCAGTCCGCTCAGCGCCAGAGAGTTCTTCCATACCAGCTCCTCCTCAGACCTGGCAACCTGTGCTGTTTTTCTAAGTAATCCGGCCAATCCCAAGTGGCTTAGCTGCGACATGTCAGTTCAGTGCCTATTCTGCCACCTGGAAAAGGCGAGCTTAGTTCTAAAAGCCATTTCACTGAGCCAGTGGGGAGGCTGCAAACGGTTGTCATAAAGTGACTCCACAAATGGAAGTTGGTACACATGGCGGCGTGTCTGTGTGGTTCTTCCCATGGGAGGTGGCCTGGTGGCTTCACGAGTGGTTTTTCTTGCGGGCTAAGAGGAGGTCTAAGAGTTCGCGCGAGGAACACCACGACCAGCCAGAAGCAGCATCTTGCCAATGCACCACTGCTTATTTTGCAACAAACCTGAGGCTCGCGCCTAAGTTTCCTCCCCCTACCTCCTAGACTCCAGCTCAGCCTCGACCCATCTTCAGTCTCAGGGCCTCGACACGAACATCAAGCCAGGATCCATCTCCTACAACAACAGCGGCATGTCCTTTGACGGCGCAGTGGCTACCAGCTTTACCTCTACTAGCTGCTACCAAAAAGCCTTCACCGGAGCAGCAGGCGGGCCCGGCTCAAGGTCATGATGGCTCCGGTCACGTCGTCGGTGGTTCAGGCCACGGCAGCAGAAGGGGGCCAAAGGAGGTTAGTCCTTTCCAAAGACATCAGGCATGGAAGACTACTTACTCCGCTGCCCAAAGTGGATTGAAAGTAGCTGAGAAGAGCATGTACTTGATATTGCCCTCTTTCTGGACCCCACCGGGGTTTTGTTGGGAAGAAAAAAAAAATACTAATACGAAGACAGAGAATCTCGACAAAACCCCTCATGTCTTGGACACAACGTACAGTGGACCCGTCTTGCTGCATCTCGTCCGGATGGTCAACCCGGCCCGCGAAAAGCTGGATCCGAAGAGATTGGGCGAAGCACAGCTTCATACGGCTCTCCCTAATTTCAATCGACCGCATTTGACTATATCCCAATCCCTCAACACTAAATTCTATTAGTATATTTTTCTCGTTCAGTTTTGAGCCAATATACAATGTCAAAATTTGCCGGTCTATCTCAAGCGCTCAATCAATCATATTTCAATGATCGTCCGCATGGTCAATCACCATATAGCGGATACGGCACTTAGCCACATGGTGAGGACGCCCTACGAAGTCGATTAGACGACCGGGAGAAGCGATGAGGATGTCGCAGCCTTTCGCGATTTGCTCCATGTGCTCTTGGTGAGATGGCCACCAAGGCCTTGGCACTCTCCTGCTACGGCGACTGGCCGAGTTCACTTGCCTTCTTCTCCTCGTATTTGCTCGGGTGGTGCCGTTGCCAATGTTGATCTTGGGCTTGACGCGGATGCTCATGCGGAAGTCAAGCTCGAGAGTGGGAGTGGGCAGAGCGAGCGAGGCGGCAACATTGTCATCGTCGAAGTGGTGGAGAAGGTGTACCTGATCTCTCCAACTGGGGTTGGGGTTGGGAACTGGGGCTGGGGCTGGGGCTGGGTCGTGGGACTCTTTCACAGAACCATCCACCTCCTGAATCGCAAATCCACCAATTCTGAGGCCAAGTTGGTGCAGGCGGGCAGCCAAGCTTCTGTGCTTCTCCTGGCGAGGAGCACGACAACCACCACTGCCGCCAAGCCGAGAGGATCAACAGTCAAAATGGCAACCTACGTAGAACCGCAAACGACTACGGATAAGAACGAGTCGGCTGTGTCTGTCGACTACGACGCCTTGGACGACTCTCCTATCGGTCATCTGGCCAAGAAGCAGCGAACCACTCCCTCACCAACAACTCCCTCAACCCATCACTCCCTCGGCCGACCACTCCCTCAACCAGCCCCATTTGGTGAGGTCAGGTATTACCAGGATGAATACGAGGAGACGAAGACAAGTGAGCTTCAGAAGCTGAACTGATCCAAATCACAAGATAACACCCGAGGTAGCGCACAGAGACCTCGAGTGCGGTCACCAATTGCGCTCAGGGTGACCCCATTGCCGGTCCCGACAACAAGGCCGATCACGAGGCTAAATCAAAAGGCGAGCCTTCTATATCGGCTGACATCTTCCGCTTCAACTGCCGAACTAGCTGCTTCTTTGACCTACACTCGCGCAACGGTCCCGGTGTACCCCACGAACAGCAACTCTGGTCCCCCATCAAGACTGCGTTGCCGCCTAGACGCATGTCTTATTCTGTCGTGCCGAGCTTCCAGTCGGTTCTCATATACCAAAACCCTGTTATTGGCCTCTCTTCTGTTGTGCACCAACCGCTTGCAGACTTTGAGAAGCTCAAAGCCCTGCGTAGGTTCAAGGCAGTTTGTGGGCCCCATTCCAGATGTGAAAGATATACCCGCTCGGCCGCCCCTCGCGGTCGCTGCTTAGACGAACCATGCCTTGGATCAGTTGCTCGGCAACAATCTGAGAACATCCGCTCTCGGAGTACTTTATCATGCATCTCAGCCGGTCAGACAATTCCCTCCCAATTATCGACCGTGTCCAACAGCTCGCCGACGGGCCAATCCATTGGGTTCCCTAGAGGCCCATCGACAGGTTCCTTCCAACCAAGTACTCCCAGCTTTCCTGAATCGATTTGCATCTCGTTCTGCTTCCACTCCACCTTTCAAAGAGCCCTTTCGGGCTACTTCGGTTCAGTCTACTCCTCACGCAACTCTTCGTCGACGTCATTGTCTCGACAAGAACGGCTGGCTGACTTCTCCCTCTCCGATGCCACCTCGTTGCCGATGGAATAGTCCCAAGCCTCGTGTCGAGCCTTTTGGCCCATCCAAAACTACTGGCTTACGCCCAGCCATGCTTCACATTGTAGAGTTTGCTGGCCACGAGCCTCCACCCCTAGCCAGCGCTACTGCGTCTCTGCGGCCAATTGGGGCCACAGGCCATCACGATTGCGCAAGGTGGTAAGTCCAGTTTCTTACGCTCCTGTAAAGGCAATGCTCGGGTAAGGACAATTTCCGAGACTAACAAATGGATAGACTCTGGCAAGACTGCGGCATACCTGATCCCCATCATTTCCACCAGTCGCCTGGTTAAGACTACCGGTTGCTTCGCCGACGAGACTGACAACTTTTGGGCTATCTCTACGTTCTAGGACATTCACTACGTCTATTACACAATGAGAAAGTCGGCCAATATCAGAGTCAATGCCATGGCTGGCTGTCTAACCGATTACTGTTGCGGCTAGGGTCAAGGGTACTTCGTACCAACTCTCCAGGCTTCAGCCAAAGCGAAGACATATTCTGCAGGAGGCAAATCATTATTGGAGAGACCACCGCGAAACGCCGAGAATGATTGCGAAACGCGGGTTATGAGAGGAACAGATGAAAGTACACCGAGTATGACAAACACTGGATGAAATGACGGCCTCTCGACAATACACTGACCTTTTCTCTGATATTGACAGAACCTGTCCAAGGTTTTCCGCAGCCCGAAGTATCTCCTTCACTGTCACCGTCGACAGATGGCGAAGAACGGCAGATCGAAGTTGATGACGTGTGGAATTTTGCGCACCGCACACCAGTACCGCGAGCAGTGGTAGAGGCGATGGTCATCATGATGGGACACTTTTCGGTACAGAAGACGCACAGAGCAACGTCACGCTCCCTCTGGGTTCTCTCACCATGCGTTTTGACACGAGGCATCATCTTGTTGAACAAGTACTCGCCAAGCTCATCGGCGATACGTCCGCTGTTGGCGCAACGATCCATGGAACAGGATCTGGATCAAGGAACTAGAGAATTGATTGATTCGAAAGCGCTGGTGGCTGCCACGAAAGGTGTCCGGAGACTAGGCCTTGCGCCTATCAGGCAGAGAGTTGAGGAGATTGAAGCAAGCCTGCTTCTTCATATAATGCGGCATGGATGCGCATGGCATTGGGCATCTCGCCGCTGCATCAACCGAGACCAATTTACAAGGCCACTGACTGCCCTGAGAGAACTTGCAAGAATTGCACTTGGTTCTCTCAACTGACCACACTCGGTGGCCCAGGTTTGTCCTCTCCGCCATTGCTGAGCTCCAGCTTGCTTAAGAGGGATCTAATCGTGTCGAACCCATCGAATCGTTTAGGACAGCTGACCTGCACCCAGCCATTCTCCGCAACGCCGAGATTGCGGGCTACGATATGCCCACCCCCATTCAGCGCTACTATATCCCCGCAACCGTCCTGTGGCAGGAGAGTGTCAGAGGACTAAGGTAACGCATTGCATTCTTAGAAATCACCCAGGTGTCATGGAAATCAGCTGTAGTAGAATCGCTGTTGATTAAACAAAAAGCAAACCGGTTGAAGCATTGCAAAAGAGCTCCAGAGCTTGAGCCGAGGCCAGATCAGGCACGATTCGTTCAAGTTTGACTGTGCGGCCAAACGGCAAGAAGCCTGGCTTGTAACCGCGAAATCGTCGTTTAGTTTCCTGCTGGAGCAAAGCAAAACCGTTGGGTTCGATCAGACAGTTCTTTGTCTATAACAAACGATGGGTTAATCCCATTTGCCTTAAGGAGCAACGCGAGGCGGCTTGAAAGTGTCATCGTGGGAAGGGCCCGTCTGCCAGAGAAGTTGGCCGTAGCTCTCACCCCAGAAGTTATCCCAGGACCAGGAATTCTGGGGCATATTTGTTTGTTGGGACCGTTAAGGAGAAAGAGGTTGACAAATTCTGGTCAACGACGTCCAGTCCACAGAGAAAGAGAATTGCAAGTTTAGGGCCACTAGATTTCGACCCTGATGGAGAGGGAGGTTGGTGGTTTGACTCACCACTCGTCATCCACGACGAACTGCTCAATCCCCCGCAACACGGCATTTCCTTGAACTGAATCTCGACAGACACTCCTTCCCAAAGAAAGGAAATTTGTTGTCATATGTCACAAGAAGGGAAGGAGCTTCCAAGAATCTGTTCGATCTTTCTCCGGTCTTCCACTACTTTATGCTCCCTTCCCCCATGGACAAGAAATTGGTCATCAAGTCCTGTCCGTTCCACTGGTCAGTGGTTGCTCGATGGTGACACCGCTCTCCTGTCGACAACAAGTGGCCAGTTCATGTCACTACATTCCATTCACCGAATGCTGACATCGAGACACCTCCGGAAGGGTCCTCAACTTCAACAGCACACTTGTTCCCAACAGATCCGAGAACAATTGCGCTTTCAAGCTCAACAGCAACCGTGCCTTCAAGCTGAACTGGTCTGTCTGAAGCACACCAGTGGTAGCCCCATGTCCGACTCCCCGTAAGTCATTCTGAAAATCGGACAGCCGACGTCTGCTAACCAACGTGTGTCCAGCTTCACCCTTCGCCGTTACACGCCTTCACGAACGCTGTCCCGCCGGCCGCCGAACAACACTCTATGCTTCTTTGAGGCTTCACTCTAGAATTCTGGCTACTGAGTACATGGTTCAGCCTCTCCACGCTCTCAGCATGGCTAGCACCCAGCATCCGCTCACCCAACATTAGTATCTCCCGCTCATGCCCAGTCTTCGTGAGCTAGAGGAGGCCATCGAAGCACTTGAGCGGCTGGCAGCGCCTAATTAGACCGGACCGGTCATCATCAAGACCGTCAACGCCGTCAACGCCAACGGCGCCTCTATTGCCAACAAATCTGTCAACGCCAACAAGGTCATCAGTGTGAACAGCACCGCCATGGCGACCATGATCGACAAACTCTACATTTAGGGATCAAAACGCTGCCGACGCTGACTCCGGCAAGGCCGACTGGCCTCAGCAGCGCAATGTTTGCTGCAGTTAATTGGGCAGGATGAGATGCCCTCTAACGTGCAGCTGGGGCGTTGTGGCTTGCCTGGGCGGGCTACGGAAATGGGGTCTTCCGGGGCTTCTAGCATTTCGGCATTCTAGCCTGCCAAACATTGACGGCCGAGAGGTCACCTAAAAGGCCTCGAACCACAACGAAATTCCGATGTATTCCCCGACAACAACAGCAACTACGCCTTCAAGCCGACTGGCTGCCCAACTGATGTCTAACTGTAAGCCAAGGTCACCATTCCGTTGTCTAGGGAAATACATGCTCCCAAACGGCGAGCATGCTTGTTTTCGGGAGCCTTTCGGGTTCTCGACCGTGCGGTCAAGCTCTGCTACGATATCGAACCGGTTCTCAGACGGTCGTGCCAATGAATTTCGATGGCTGTCGGGGGAACAACGAAAGTTGTCCAATCCCGAAAGCAAGATGTCGACGCACATTATCGGATCCCATCTTGTTGAATTTTGCTAACCATTTCGTGGCCTTGATACTAGCTCCAAAAGATCCTGCGCTTTTGTATAGATACATAAGGTCGACAGACCGGTCGTTCTCTCGCTACCCGTTCAACTTTCCGAAACACAAATGAAGCATGAACTGCTTGCACCAGATACATACCCCAAGTTCAGGAACGTCACTCTGGCGACTGGATAGACCAAACACGAATGGCCCCCTGAGCTCAAGCGCCACCAAGACTAGGCAGAAACAGCACTTCCGCGGAGAAACGGCGAAGATAAGGGCTCGGGTTTCTGCAGCCGATGGTAATGCTACTTTTATGGTCTCGAAACGCCTCTTTTCTCCCAACTTTTCAGCTGTTGAGTTTTGGAGGCAATTGGAGACCCAAAGGGGAGATCCGCAGAGGTGCGTTGGTACTGATAGTGTCTGTGTGGAAGAATGGAAGACTAATGAGCCTAGGCCTGGCCAGATCGTGCATCAACGTCGTGCCATCCAAAAGCCCACCAAGTACAATGTACGGGTGGACTGCCTACCCAATCATGGCTGTTGCGAAGTGTTGGGCTAAGTATCTGCGAGTTTATCTTGCGACCCATCTAGTGAAAAGCTGAACCTCCTTGAGCCGAGCCTCGCCTATTTATGGTGTATTTGGCCCACGTACACAGCAAAAGGTGTGTTACACAACTAAGCCATATGCAATAGACGAGCTGACTTTGAGGTAGGCTGCAAAAAACTGGGTTGTGTAGCTACCTGCTTGTGCTGATCAATGTCTACGTGAGTTAGAGATGTAGATGTATTCTATTTAAGGGCGCGTGAAGCATCCCGTTTCTTGGTGTTTCGTCGCCTTTCTGATCTGCATACTTCTTCCCAGTTCTTCACTTGTTATTTTCATTCTCGAATTATTTCAAGTCTGTTATCCGTCACCCACGTCGGCTTACGATCAATCTGCCCTATGGATTCATCCAGAGGAACTACTTCCTACAGGGGTCACGATCGTTACCACGGGAATCACCATGTTGATGATTCGTCACAGCATGTGCCCACTAGTGTCTACATGCTGGAGGAGAATGTACCGCTCCACGACCAACCTGGACGTACAGATTCTCGACGTTACTCGGATTTGGAGAGAATTGGCTCATCTCCGAGGGGGCTTGATACCATCAATCATGATTGTCCTTGGCAACCAGGACGCTCTAGACGAATCCTATATCTCGGTTATGCTCCTTTACTCCTGAGTCTGGCTTGTGAGTACAGCATTTCCTCAGTATCTGCACATGGTTATACATGTGCTGATTGAAGCTGACAGGTACTCTTTTGGCCATTTACATTATTTTGAACAGCAACGGCAAGCCGGTTAGCGCTTGGGCTGGTTCACATCGCATGCAGCCTGGTCAGCTCCTGGCTTTTACTTCAACTGCTGCAAATTCTTTGATGATGATTGCCTACGTTCAGGGATGGGTGTCTTTTTTCTGGATACAAGCACTCAAAGGCAACATGCCTGTGTCCAGTCTTCACTATAATTGGGAAGCAGCCACGAGTGTTTGGGGATCCCTCAAATCCTTGATGCGAAGAAGGGCTTGTCGCGTCAGTGTTGGTGAGTTTGCCATCATTTACGTACTCTCTCTCTACACTATACACAAGTCTGCGCTTGATCCGTAGTAAACTGATCTAGGTGTCATCAAGTATCCATCCTCGTGACCATAACGTCCTTCCTCCGGGGCCCTCTGATACAAAAAGGCTCCTACATCCTAACCATTGGTTCAATGTATGCGGGTATTATTGACCTTCAAGTTCTACCCGCCACCGAGGTTTGGGATTCACAGTCCTCTGATACTCCCAAACTCAAGCAAATATTCTCAGACGTCATGAGAGAGTATCAGGCCAGGACTCCCATCCACATTACCGGGTCAGATTGCAACAATTGTTCCTTAAGTGTTGAGGCAAGTACAGATACCCCGAGTTCTCCGCAGAGGTTGGGCTTCAGACGGCGTCAAGGCTAATTTACCTATGTGGTATCTTGCCAGGGGTTTGGATTCCAATACGTGAACACACTCAACCAATCAAACTTACATCACTTTTTGGAGCGCCCATCAACAAATTACAGCCAGAACCATATTCTCAATGTTACAACCCATGCCATTAATGTCAACGAGTATATTGAGGTTAATGTCGTTCGGAAGGCCTCGAATGATTGCGATGCCAACGTCATCACAACGACACATCATCTATATCCCTCAACGGTTAAGTATAAGTTGTTCCTCCAAGGACAAAAAGCCACATTTTCAACAAGCGACTGGCAGAACGATGAGGTTGTTCAGCTGCTGTACGTATCTTCCCATGAGCGCAAGGCCTGAGTCTACCTTTTCGAGCGTTGAACCTGGTTGCAGCTGCCGTTTCACTGACGAGTCTTAGAGATCTGTCATCGACAAACCAAGGCCATGAAAATTGGAAACTTTGGTACTTTGGAGAAATAGCTAATCATTTCTGGGGCGCCGAGACGGTCCTAACTGTGGTCTGGGATAACGTCGTTTCCGTTGAGGCTGAGCCGACGGGGACCTGGATGACTTGGACAGCACCGGTACCGGATCCAGATGATCCGGATAGCCTAATTCAGACTGTGATCGACTACAGAGGAGCGGCATCTTTCTTGTACGCACAAAACTCTGGCAATGAAAGCGCATGCGGTCCAATCTTTGACGATCCGACTCATGATATTTTGAACGGTTTCCGAGAGCTGGCGTTGCGCCTGTCCATCCGTGAGGCATTTGAGAGACACGAGGCTGCTGCGGCGGCAGGTGGCGAGACAGAAGGCAACCCAGCCTTTGTGCAGAAGGTTACCTACACCAGCCATCAGCCCCAATATGCCGTCGACAAGCCAGCCCTTGCCCTAGCGGTAGTGATTAGTCTTCTCGGTCCTATCTCGATCCTCTCTCTATTTAAAGGTTGGACAACCCTCGGGAGAGACTTTTCCTTAAGCCCATTCGAGCTGGCCAACTCGTTCCTCCTCCGGTCGCCGCTGCCCTCGTCGTCACCTCGGTCAAACAGCAGCGGCGACTCTATTTTCGAATTGGAGCAAAGACAACATCAGCTCGCTTCACTCCTTGCTAGCTGCAGCAGTAATGCCTCGGCTGAGAAAGTACTTGAGTCGATCTGTCAAAGAGCAGAGGCGGCTAGTGACGGAGTGAATGGCATGACGACCAAGGAGCCAGTGGTGCAGTATGGAGTGCTTGACGGTACGGGCTCGCTCGGTTTTGCCATTTCGGATGTAAATGGCGTTGTTCATGCTCGGAAACCGAGAGAGGGAGAGATGCTATGATTTGGACTTTCATGATTCTTACGACTTGGGTTTTCTTGTGGCGTCGTTGGACTTGAAAGTGGTTCTGTGGTTCTACTGTGGGATGCTTTTCTCGTACTGGTGACTGGTGTCGGGAAATGACGATACACATGATACTGCCTTGTTCTAGCTGAACAATTCACAAATTACCTTCTACCGGCTAGCTGAAAGTTGATAAAACAAGGAGCCTCTACTTCCCTTCGCAAAAGTAGGCAGGAAGGCGTTCCGGAAAGGCGCTTGTTGCGATACTTACAACAGGAACAATCTGGTAGGAGATGATAGGGGAAAGTGTCTGCATAATAGAGGCTGCAGAGCATTGCTCTCGCAGGACAGGAGCATACTTCTGCATATAACTTTAACCGCAGATTGCCTCCCAGTATATCAGGGCATGAATTTGCCAGAGCAACAGACCTCGAAGAGACTTGATCAAAAAAAATACGACCGAATGATCACCTAGTGAAAACAGCTCGCCTCATGACAAAGGGAAATACTGTCAGCAGGGTACGTAATTAATTGGTTAAATTTAAGTTGAATATGGGGGTCGTCAAAATAAGCTTCCAACTCAAGCCTTTTCCGCTACAGCCAATCACCGTCGTCGTCTTACACGTGTGATATAATAGCCACGTTCCAGGTTCATCTCTCACTGTCTGCCTACATAGTGTACTTACCTACCGTTCCAAACATTGACACACGAATCATGATACCTAGATCTTGACAGGTACATGTCAATTACCTAAGAAACATCCATCCACCTTCCCATTACTACGTAGGTATATATATGGTTTTAGTATCACCTAAACTACTCCAGTCTGCACCACATACACAGTCCATCTAGATATTCTCAATAGCAACAAAGGATCGATATCGATTCGTAACTTATATCCATCCCTCTTGTTACCCTGCTGTCGCGTCGTGCCTCCTATATGATCTTTGTCACTGCTGCTGCCATCATATTTTGGGATGTGTTAACAGACTATGACCGATCCTGCAAGCAAGCGCCTTCGACTCGTCCCTTCGTCTTTGTATGTGGATCATGCCCGTCAAGTGAGTCCTATACAATAAATGCGATACATGAAAGCAAATAAGAGGAAAGAGCCTGGGGAGCGAAAGTGGGAAGCAAAAATACAAAGGCAAGGGAGCAAGATCTGTAGAGCAAACGGTCAAGAGAGCAAACGATATACGGAACGTATGAATGAATGTCTAATCAAGACCAGCTGTCGAGATTTAAGAGAGCCTGAGCTAATATTGGCATTATGAGCGTGAAAGAGAGATATCTTCTGTTGTCAGATCACCGCTGACATGTATGGTGTGTACACGGCAATTACAATGTTGTAGGTAGTATGGTACTTTGCAATCGGCTGCCATAATGTACCTCTAGGCTAGTCTGGTCCGCGCTTGAAAGCGAAAAAAGTAAAGTGGACATGGCAGTATCTAGATGCTTACAAAAACAAAGGAACGGTCTTTCCCTTGCGAGTAAAATGGAGTTGAAAAGGGCCTCTCCGAAAGGCGTACAAGATTAAAAAAACGAACAAGACAGCGAGCACCATTGTATACCCTAGTGAAAGCCGGATCAACCTTTCTTCAGAGAAAATAAAAAAAAGCAAATTAATAATCCCTCCATGCACCGAGCGCCAGAGGATATGATATGGAAAGCAAATAAGCAAGGTACCCAAACCCCCAAGTCATGAATCCCGCGTGTGTGTGTACGAGGCCCAGTTCCGGGCAGTTTCATTTACCCAACCAAGTCAGTTGCGAAAATCAATATGTATCACCAAGCATACCCCCCACCACCATAATCGTCATCCCTGTCCATCCCATCCCACTCGGAATCCTCCTCATCATCATCGCCGCTGCCATCCACAAAATCCTCCATGGTCAACGTCTGCTCCGTCAACTTCTGGTTGTCCAACTGCAGCTCCACCTTCTCGCACCAGCCATGTCTGTAGAGAATCTCGCCCGCTACGTTGGCTTCCCTTAGTGAAAGAGATAATGCCTCGGCTGATAATGATAGCGATGAAGCCACGGATACTTCGCGTTCGCCGCGTTGGGCGCTGTGGCCGCGCGAGGGCGAGGGTGTGCCGCCGTTGGAAGATGAGGAGCCAGAGGATAGAGCTGCGATGCGGGCGCTTCGGCGGGTAGAGAGTGAGGACGACGGCCCTTGGTGGGCTTCGATGGATTGGGCTACCCAATTAACGGTACGGGACCGTTTGATAGCAGAAGGAGGTAGTTTCCTCGTTGAGAAGGTGGGTATTATCTGCTGCTTGTTGGGGGTGGGTGTTGGTGGGGGGCGTAGTTTGAAGGGTGGCTTGGGATCTTCCCATTTGCGAAGAAAGACGCCCTTGAGACGGGCTTCCCATCTATCGCGCATTTCGGAACGCTGGCGGATGGGAATGTTGAGTTTGGCGTTGATATCAATGATGCGTAAGTCGGGAAGATCGGGTGCGGCTTTGATCAGGGACTGGAAAAGGTTCTCGGCTGCGTCGGCGGACCACTTGCGCATGTTCTGAAGCTCGAGGGTGCGTAGACTCACTGGCCACTCGGGGACTTCTTGGACGCTGAGGACCTCGTCATAGCTGGGGTCTGAGTCGTTGTAGAATTCATGGTGGTTGTATGTTTTCAGATCTACGCTCAGCGTTTGCAAGTGTGGACAGGCAGTGCCCAGGACAGTGAGGAAACTCAAGCTGAGGGACTGGTTATGCTTCAGATAGAGATGTTCAAGATGGTAGGCACGGGTCAGAAGGTATTCCGAAAAATCATCGGCAGTGATTTCCCAGCAGTTGACGAGCTCCAGCGTCTTCAAAGTTTTGGGAAGAAGGCGGAGCAAGTAGTCGTTTGCAATGGTGGAGGATTCGATAGACAGATACTCCAGTTGGGGAAGAACGTTAATGGCATGGGCAAACTCGCTGATCAAGAAGTTTTCGAACCCTTCATCTTCTTGGACAACCGCTGGCCAGTTATGCAGGGGCATCGAAGGAACCTGGAAGTTCTGAAGGCAAAGTTTCTTGAGGTTTGAAAAAGCCGGAGTTTGGTGAATAATGGCAGGACTTTGCAGAGTCATGTCGGGGGTCATCAACCTTCCGTTCCATCTCCAGGCCTCAAGTTCGAGCGGCTTGTGCTTGGTTCCTGGAGGGTCGCCGCCGTTGAGAAAGTTCCACAAAGCAGTTGGATATTTCCATCTGAGGCTCGCTTCAAGAGATCGGAATGGGGCATCGTCCTTTGCATGGAAGAAGTCGATAGACATGAGCTGTGGGACATTGGCGAAAAGGGCTTCCCAGTCGAGGTGTTGCCCTTTATAAGTCTTGGAAGCAATCTCCTCAACATCGATCCGCAACTTTTTTACTTTCCACCTGTAGCGGTACTTCATCTTTGAGGGATCCGAGGACAAGAGCGCCACGAGTCCATGTGCCATTTTCCGCGTGAGCAAGGGGGGAGAGTAATACAAGGCCGTCAGGGCTGGTTCCGCAAGTTCCCTGCAAAGACGGCTCGCAGATAAGAGAAGGTTGACAGCATCTCGATCACGCTCGGCGGATGCAAACTTGAAAATCAAGAGCCAAAGCTCATACGGGAGATGTTGCCAGGGGGGGATGACTTTGGGTTCCTTTTCGGCAGTGTCTTCGTCGGCACCACCAGAGTGGACAAGGTCCAATTTAGATTTCCTGGACGAAGCGGGCGTGCGTCTCTTAGTGGCAGTCGCCGGCGTGCCTTTTCTTCTCTTTCGCTCTGGGGTACGTGGAACTGAAAAATCCCTGGCTCTGGCTACGGATATGGCCGTTGCTCTGGCCCTGCGAGGAGTGGGGGGACTTTCCTGGTCGGTGTTGACGATGTCGTCATCTTCTCCATCGGTGTCTTCATGGAAGAAGCCGGACCGGGGACGGCGCCGTTTTCCTAGCGCTTGGCGACCGGAGGTGACTGCTCGTGTGTTATTGTTGAGCTCGGTCCGAGATGGACGCCCCCGTGTTGATGATATGGCGGACCTGCGTGCGGGTTGCCGTTCATCTCGTTCTCCGTCCTCCTCCTCTTCTTCTTCTTCTTCTTCTTCACTGTCGCTTTCATCAGACGTAGTAGAGGCACTGTCGCTATCGTCGGAAGAATCTTCACGATAGTTGATGGACGACCTACGCGGGCGAATATTGTGATATGTAGTGTTGTTGTTATCACCTCTACGGCCGTTGAACGAACGACGTGGATCACCACAGTTCCGGGCTGCCCCTGCTGCTGAATCCCCGCTGCGAGCGCTTCGTCTTAGTGGGCTTGCTGGGCCCAGATTTGATGTCGCACCGCGGCCGATTGCAACACCAGCAGCGGCTCCCACAGCACCACCCCCCTGACTCCCGGCTCGGCGTGGCCGCAGACTACGGCCACCACCCACTGCCGCCGCTACTTCTAATGCCTCCGTCGCCGATAATGCAGATCTAGTACGGCTTCGCGCCGAAGCACGCCGGGCCTCCACCTTGGACATGGCTGGCTATGCTGTTCAGCAAGCGGCATCGAGTGGTGCGAAAAGGTTTGTTTGCAATTGATTGATTGTTTGTGGATATGTACGAGTGCAAAGAAAGAATATGGCAAGGTGCATCCAGCAAGGTTGCCTTGGTGTTGTTGAAAGACGGATGGTTGCGAGTCGGAAGATGGCTTCGGTTTGCGACTGATGATGAATGGTCCGGTCGCAGTGAGCACAGAACCAGTCCGGAACAGGAAGTGGTCAACCCTGTCAGTCAATCAATGTCCTGGAAGTGGGAGGCGCTTTTGGTTTGCTTGCTCACTGTGCGGAAGTGCTAAACCGACAATGCCGTTCGATTTCGTCCCTTTCAACCAATCACGGGACCCAGCCAGCCTGCTGCACGACCCACATTAGCTAATCAAGGACTCATCTCAAACGATGCAACCGACCAAGTTCGTGGAAGTGCAACTGGGAAAAGCCAAAAATCGTTGGTACTAAACTAGCATCAGAACTCGATGCAATGCTGTTGATATATTCGCTCCAAGCATCGTTGACATGTATCTGATCTTCAAGGATGCAAAATTCTGGAAGGACAGACCTCGAAAGCGGATGCAGGCAGAACTCCGGACCTTCCTGGTACGACACTTACAAAGCGACCGCTTAAGACAAAGACCAGAAGGGCCAAGCCGTTCTCGGTGCACCGTCAACAATGAAAAATCAGGGACCATTTGTGCCCTGCACTCAAAGAACAACTGCCGGCATTTCAAGGGAGCAAAAAGAAAATAAAAAAGTCGGGAGCATCTCCGTATGCAATGCCAGCAAAAGAAAAGATAACTCGATCCACCCAGGGGTCGAACCTGGAACCTCCTGATTCGTAGTCAGACGCTCTGCCATTGAGCCAGCGGACCTTGTTGAATATCACTTTTGCATGATCTAACTATAGGAGGACATCGAGGTATCATTTCCTTCCTCACTAATTCTAGTCAGCTGCATGGGCCTGAGTGAACATCGTGCTGCTCAGCACTCCACATCATCCCATATGCAGCCCTTTTCTATCTTGAAAAGCACCGTGGCCTGTCCATATGTATTCGTAACGACGCTACAAACGTTCCGTGATCCCTTGACTGTGAACCTGCCTTTCCCATTACCCTGTTTCCCATAAACGCCCGACAATGCATCAAACCATCTAGTAACAAGCTTGTTGAACGAAAGTTTGTCCCTAGACATTCCTGCCGTCAAGTCGCCTTCCCTTGCTCTCTGTCGGCTTTTTCTCGGCTTGCGCGGCCTTGTCTTCACCATCACTCTTCTTCTTCGGGACTCCTCCCCGGAGCGTCTGTCCCTGGCCCGCAAAATGCGGCTGCTTCGCCGCGGCCGCCTCCCTCTCCTTGTCTGCGGCAGTCTTGACAGGCTTGATCTCGTATCCCAAGAAGAGCTTGTTGGGCGGCAGACGCAACGGCAGCGGGCCGTTGTTGTTTTTCCTCCTGGGAAGCACCACGTCCTTAACGTTGGTCGAAGTACCCGCCACCGGCGTCGCCGGCTTCGGTGTTCCCGTCTTGCTACTCTTCTTCGCCGCCAACCGCAGACCCTCGCCTTGGAAGTTGCCCACCGACGTGGTGGTGGCTCCTGGTGCGATGGCATCGTAGTTGATGGCCTGAGCCATGGTTCCCTGGTTGTGCAAAAGACCACCCGCCGGAAGTCCTCCGCCAACAGCCCTTCCATTGCGTGGTGTGCTGGTACCACTGCCTTGTGTCTGTCGCGAAGGCTCGACGTAGCCAACTGGCGGCGCAAAATCGACGCTGACATCTGTCTCGATCATGCAGACACCCATCTTGGCCGTCTCTGGCTTGACGTCTAGTACTGCCATTTCGTAGATCTCGTCGTTGTACTCAAAGTTGAAAACATCGCCCTTGGTCAGGGCCGCAAAGTTCCGGAAGGCCTTTTCGAGGACGGCACGAGGGTCGCTGATGTCGAGGAAGTTGACCGATTGCGGTTGGAGCTTTACAAGTCTGGCAAGCTCGAGAGAAGTCGTCTTGATCTGGATCATGTCGCCCACGTCGAGCTTGAGTGTCTGCATCATCCACTGCGGAATGTAGGCCCTGCCCTCCTCAGCCACGAACTCTAGAACACCGGCGTGTGTGTGGGTGCCCTGCGAGCCGTTGATAAGCTCTAGCATGATGGGCCATTGGACGTGTAGTCGCGAAACCTTGTCGAGAGCGGAAGGCGGGAGCAGAATCTTGGAGCCGTAGTTGAGTTCAGGTCGTTCGGCACCGGGCGCCATGACAAGGGGGTAGCAGCGGTAGTACTCATCGAAGCGTTGCGCGCCCCGAGAGCGACCGGCGGCGCGGCTGTAGATGTCTCCATACTGCCATGGCCACAAGTTAGAATGTTTCAGAAAGATAGAGGGGTCAAAAAGCTTTCTTGATAATCGAGCGTGAGGACAAGGATAGCTTACCATGATCGCGAGGGGGCTGCTAGAGATGGAGTAAAGTAATGTTGTGAAAAAGGGAAACGACAGGGTATTTGTATCAAGAAGGGAGATTTCAAGGTAAGCTTCGCAGAATAAGTAGTGGTACCCGGAACAGCAGAGTGTGACAAGCGATAGTGAAAGGGAGGTTGTGACGGTGTTGAAATAACCTGACCGCGTGGAAGGTTCCAAAGGCAACAACGCAGATGACATAACTGGGCCCGAAAGTTACAGGCACGTTAGGTAATGATTGGGACCCTGGCGGCCTAGCAAGGGTATCGTACAGTAAGTACCTAGAGGTATCTGCCGCCTCAACGGGATTGGCGGGGTGAGAAGGTGCCGCCGTGGCGTCAGATCTGTGAAACCGTGCTGTGGCGCGAGCTCCCCCCTTTCTTAAACGCTTAGGTCAGAGGTACCTTGAGCGCTGCCTGTCCACTGCAGAACGCTCTGGACCTTGATGGCAGTGGAGAGCTCCATGTTATCCGTTGGGGCTGACAACGGCTAAGGTACCTAGTGATGGAGTTTCTTTAGATTCCCAATTCGCCATCCAGATCCTCTCTAAACACCATCCTCTACTTGTAGGGTTGTCATTCGCCGTCGACCCAGGCAAAATAGTCATCATCTCAGGCCATATCTACACAAAAGTCTGCGATACAGAGACAGAATAGGCCATTCCACCAAGAAAACATAACCTTTACACGCTGACGTCAACGCCTACACACCAACACACGAGATTGAAGACAACCACCACCATGTCCTCCCGCTTCTCCGCCGCGCGCCCCAAACGCGCCAGCGAAGCCTACGCCCGCGCACACCACGGCGAATCGCGCTCCAACGACGACGACACCTCCAGCGGGCCCTCCCACAAAAAAGTCAAGTTCGACGTGCGCAACCCCTCCGCGCTCGCGCCCTCAGCGCACGATGACGACCTCGACGAAGCTGACGAGGAGGTTCTTGCCGCCGACGTGATCGGTGGGCTTTCTCGAGCCACCAAGCGCGGCGCGGTCAACATCGATGGGTACGATTCCGATTCGGACAATGACAACCTGGAAGACCGCGCGGAAGCCCGAGGGAAGAGCCGCAAGAAAGGCAAAGACGCTGAGGACGTGGATCTGGCCGAGATGATGGATAATTACAACAAGCCTTCCAACGGGGCAGGGAAAGATGCCGATGAAGACGACGAGGTAGACATGTTTGGCGACTTGGAAGACGACGACGGTGCTCAACCGACGACAGCCGGTGGTGGCTCAGCGAAGGACAAAAAATCCGTCCACTTCCTCGCCGACTCGGAAATCGAAGGGCAAGACCTTTCTTCTAAAGCTGGAGGAACCATCAACATCAACCCCGCCGCCTCAGCTGAATCGGACGACGAAGACGACGACGAAGAAGCCATAGCAGCCGCCATCGCCGAAGAGGGAGTAGACGAAGAGGTCGGCCTAGGCGGACTGAAGAAACACGCGCCCAAGATTGACGCCTTCAACATGCAAGCCGAGAATGAAGAGGGCGCTTTTGACGAGGCGGGCAACTACATCCGCAAAGCGGCCGACCAAAATGCCGTGCACGATAAGTGGCTGGAAGGCTTGTCCAAAAAGGAAATCAAAAAGGCGGCGTTGGCGCACGAGAAGCGTGAGGCGGAAAGGCGCGCGCAGGAGAGGGAAGATGATAAGATCGCCACTGGGGACTTGCTCAGAAACTTGATCTTGACGCTAGAAAAGGGGGAGACGGCGCTGGAGGCGCTGGCAAGACTTGGAAAAGATAAAACCAAGGGGCCGAAGAAGGTGCCCAAGTGGAAGCAAAAGAGGCAGGAAAGGAAACAGGGCATCGATTCGATGGATGTGGATGACAAGAAGGAGGAGGAGGATCCGAAGCAGAAGAAGACCAGGGAGGCGATTGATGCCATTACTGAGGCGGCAGATAAGCTGTTGGGAAGGGATTATCCGGATATTTACGATAAGGAGAGGGAGTGGTTGATGAGAGAGTATAGAGCAGAGACGGGCGAGACTTGGCTGGAGCCTACTGCTCCTGAAAAGGAGGAAAAGGAGGAAGAGCAGCCATCGTCACTAAACGGACACCCCAAAATGTGGGAGTTTAGGTGGACAGATGGGAGAGACGGAGGAGGAAGCCAAGGGCCGTATGACGGGCCCACTATGAAGGCATGGCAGGATGCTGGATACTTTAAGGAGGCGGTTGAGTTCAGGCCGGTAGGCGGAGGGGACGGGGAGTGGTCTAGGGTTGCGGCCTTCGTATGATCATCACATGGCAGATGTGTATGGTTAGGTTTTGTACGATTGTGTGTGATAGTATACCCCCGGTTCGGAATGACGAGAGAATCAAAAGCCTTTATCACCATGCTTGAAACTCCTCAGCAGCTGGTTGTCATTCGTCCCTACTATGCCCTCTCCTGCTACCCCATACTTCGACTTCGATTCGTTTCGTTGTATGATACAAACGGATATTTGCAGACTCCATGCCATCGCCATGATCAGTACCATGACAAAAAACCATGACTGGGCACACATAAAGCTTAAGAAAACAGTGTTATCATGACAAAGACGCCTTTTTGATGAGCCATCCCAATTAAACGCCTAGACGAAACGAAATCATAACCCCAAGATCATTCATTAATCCTTGTTGCGCATTGTCCCATGACTGTTTAGCTGCTGGTATCCATGCTATCACCGCCAGCCGCAGTAGCCGCTGGCTCTCCCGTAGCACCGCCATTGACACGGAAATCGACCACGCCATCACTGCCGATGAGCCTCTTCTCCGACTCCTGCACGAACTTGACGCTCCTGGCAGGATCGTAGAACAGCTTGAAGCTGCGCTGGACGTCCTCAACGCCGACCTGCTTGGCCTTCCTCTTGGCACAGATTAGTTGCGACGTCGTGATGAGGTTGCTCGCATACCGGAGGCCGGCCTCGGCGCCGATCTTGGTGAGCAGGGCGAGCGCGTCGGGGGTAAGGTCGACTTCTTCCTCCTGAGCGCGAATCGTAAGAATCTGTCTGAGCTCGTCGGGCGTGTACGAGTGGGTGTTGATGATGGAAATGCGGTCGAGGAAGTCGAGCGGCAGGCCGTGAGGGCTCTTGTAGTCGGTGCCGCGGATCTTGGAATGGCCCCGGTTGCTGGCCATGATGACGATGGGGGCCAGGTCGGACTCGAGTGCGCGGTTGATGTACGAGAAGCACTCGATGTCGAGCATGTGCACCTCGTCGATGAACAGGACACCGGGCACAATCTCGGCCTTGCCTTCTTCCTTCCACTCGGCCACCTTGGTGTTGATCTGATCGCGGATCTCGCTGCGGATCTCGCCCGTGTCGCCCGAGAAGAGGGCGAGGAAGCCTTGTGTCCTCGAGTTGATGACGTCGATCTCGTGCAGCGTTACTGTGTGGACGACCTCCTTGCGCTTCTGTAGCTCGCCATCGGGGCACTGCAGGAACTTGGTGTCGACGCCCATGGCGTCGTAGTCGCGCGACCTTGCGTACGATCGGCCCAGCTTGGTAATCTTTCCAGATGACTTGTCTATCGAGATAATGTCGCCGGCCATGACGCGCTCCTTGGTCATAGCATCGATCATCTTGCTGCCCATGTCGTAAATAGCTTCCATGTCGGTCGTCTTGATCGTAAGCTTGCCCTGCTTGGCGTGGCCGGTAACGCTCCGGTCGATCTGAATCTCCACCACCTCACCCTCCATGATCTCACTCTCCTCCTTGATCCTGACACCAATCGACTTGCGGAATGCTTGGGTGAGGGCCTCGGTCTTGGACATCTCTAGAGAGTAGATTTCGGAAGCGGCAAGGGTGGTGAAAGGGACGTCGGTGCCGAGGGACTGGGCCATGCCCATGGCAAGAGCAGTCTTTCCTGTGCTGTTTTATACCCATAGTTAGGTCAGTACACGACGGTATGCGCATGAGGACTGGCACAGCAAGACGAGCTAACCTGGGGGGACCGGCGATAAGCACAGCACGGCCGGCAATTTTCCCTTGCTTAATCATCTCAAGAACGACAGCAGCCGCCTTACGCGCCTTCTCCTGGCCGACAAGGCCTTGGGAGGCAACTCTGGGCTCGAGTGTATCGGCATCGACGCCCAACCCGCGGATGTGCGAGTGCGCTGCGATGAGGTTGAGACCCCGGAGGTCCTTACTCTCTCCGACGGTAACGACCTGCTATGGCATGGGCACAAGAGGTTAGCTGGTCTTCCGTCAAGGTACTGTGATGTTGGGGGGTAGGTGGGGAGCTTACAGCAGCCATATTGCCCACTGAATTGCAAGATATTAAATATTGAATATGCCGATTGACGCTACAAAATTTCCCAAGAAAGGTCGCTTGGGTTTGGGTATCACAGTGGGTGGGTGGTGATGGATTAGTTCCGTCGCAGGTGGATGCAGGGATGGTTTGGCAGTGAATGATGGAATGTGCTTGAAAACTAAGAGCGAGAAGTACGACGAAGTTCAAAGCTGCAGTGCGCGTCGCCGCGCGCTGTGATGGAACTTTGCAGCGAGTTCTCCAATTGCGTGCATAGACAGGCCGGGGCCTCCAGCGAGTGGGTTGTTACCGAGTTTACGTAACAATACGACTCTTTCGTACGCCGACTTACACGCCACTGTGGCTGAGGATCCAAACGGTGACAGAGAATGGGCGGAGACTTGGAAGGAAGACAGTCCTCGGACTTCTATGTGCCGGCGGGTGGGACTGGACCTGCCTTCCCGGGCGCGGGCTTGGGGGTCCCACAGCGGGCAAGGCCCCGGATTTTAGACCCACATCGGGATCCGATTGAGCTGATCATCACAACACAAAGCCTCTTTGTTTAGCAGTTGATTTGGAAAGAGAAGCAAGTCGGACGACCTGTTTGTATACAGATGGAAGTTCTTTGAAAAGGCAACAATGTTGGCACGGGCTCGTGACTCGGATGCAAAGTGAGAGAAATGCAAACATGCAAAGTAAACATGCAAGCAAGTAGGTACACTACTCACTGGGACCTGAAGCGGCCCGCAGGAGGTTCTTGGGTCAGGAGACTATGTGTGAGGTATGCTGTCATCCTAAAGAGCTGAAAGAAATACCTACATAATACGACTTGAAGATATCAATGAAATAAATGTGACGTTCGGCCAGTCATAGGTACCTAGCCATTGAAGGGACAGAATGACAAGGGTCTGTAGCGCCTTCCTTGAGTGTACAGGAGAAGTTTTGTGACCTGGGAGTGGAAGAGCTCACTGCAAATCTGCAACTCCGTCTGCTACCTTGGGCTCATGGTGGTTCCCCAGAATTATTTAAACCAATTTCCCCACCCAAATGGCAGACACTTTCCCTTTTATTTTTTTTCTCTCTTCTCCTTTGGACATCTTCGACGATTGTAGACCTGGCGTCCCGGAATGCACTCAGAACCATTAGTTCGACTGTCCATTTAGACAAGGAAAAAAAAAATACATCAACTTGTTGTATCTTTGCGCGTCAAGCCCTAGTCTGATCTCATTCCCGTCTGGAGGTGCGGGGCCTCTTAAAACTTTGACTCTATCTACGCGTCTACCCGCATTGGTATCGCATTACAATCTTCAACCAACGATATTGAACATCGACACACATTTCAGGCTCAATTCCGACATTGACTGACGTCGGTCTGTACCGCTGGCACCGGTCAGCCCCACCATTGTCACAATTACACTCTCGTCTTATACCTCGCCACATATTGTCTGTTAGGCGCACGCTTGATTGCAGCGTCTCGTCTCACTGCACACCCCCATCCGTCCGCCTGGTGTCACCATGTCTTCCAGGCCGCCGGATCCGTACGCGAGGCGGCCTTCCACTCTAAGCGACCGCCGACCATCGGCAGACCCCCATCAGCGTCGCGATAGCCAGCCTCGTAATGTTTACGGAAATGAACGGTATTCCGATAGGCCCAGTTCCAGTCATGCAAGTTCTCTACCCAACAGGCCACCAAACACTTGGAATGATAGTCATCACCGGGACCGGGACCGGGACCGGGATAGGGATAGGGATCGAGATCGGGATCGGGACCGGGACCGTGGCTTGTCTGATGCATCTGCAAGAGGCCTGACAGTCAACACACAAACTGCATCGGCCGGTGACCGTGCTCGACCTGACCATGGACTGAACACGCGTAAGCTATCAATAGCTATTCCGGATCAAATCAAAACATCAAACGAGTGCTAATTTCTATGGCAGCGGCCACTGCCTCATCTCCTACGAGCAATTCCAGGAGTACATCAGACGCAGAGATGGGAAAATGTCTCAGGGCTTTGTGCGACTCTCTTATCAGTTATACTACGCACAAATATAACCTCACTCAGGCTGAAACGGCCCTCGAAAAGCGGCAAGCCGAGTACAAAAAATGCACGGCTAAGCTGGCAGACTTCCCTTCAGTACCGGAACTTCAAAAGAAGTATCTGGATCGCGACACCAAGCGACGTGCAGAGTATTCCAATATGGTGCGTGTTGCTGAAGATGGTATCAAAAGGGCAAGAGAGGGTTTTCTCTCCTGCTTATTGCAGCTGATGAAGTCCGGTCAGTTGCCAGCTGCGTTATTGCCTCCAGCTTCTAACTCGAAGGAGTACGACGACAAGATTGCAGAACTGGAGCAAGCTTTGTCAAGTCATAAGTCCGTCACACAAACCGGGATTAATGCGCTGCAAGATCGTTACGACGGTCTCCAATCTAAACGACTTCTGGACCAACAAAACATGGAATCTCGATTTAAGGACCTCGAGGACAAACTTGGCAAACAGCAACGAGAGTATCAAAACAAACTCGCGAAGCAGCAAGAAGACTTTTCAAAGCAACTCCAAACAGAACTGGCTAAGCAGCGGCAAGATTTTGAACAGAAACTTGCAAAGCAGAGTAAAGACCTCCCGAAACAGAGCACCAAACTGGAAGAACAGATCAACAAGATGCAGTCAGACTTGAGAAACTTTAAGGAAACCCAAGAGCAAGAACTCAAGACACAGCTAGCCAAGCAACAAAAGAAGTACGAGAAACAACTCGAGCAGCAGCTCGAGCAACAACGCGCCACGGCACAAGATGATTCCAAGCAAAGCTCTGCTAGCGAGGTAGCGTCTCTACGACAGGAGCTCGCCGACCTGCGCTACCATCTGGGAACCAGAGAACAAGAACTCAACCAGGTCCGAGCTCAAGTTGCTGAGTTTGAGCAAAAGATGGCAAAACAGGAGGAGAAGCTAGAGAACGTCGATTTTGTGGCGCTGGATGAAGCAGCCGAGATTGTGTCATTCCAATTTCCGGCGCTCAAAGACCGCGTTACGGATCTGGAGACCAAGGCCCCTCTGGATATCTTGGGGCTTACCAAACAAGTTACAGACCTGGGGATGAAAGAGACGGATCTGGAGGCAAAAGTGACTCAGGTTTCGGCAGCCCAGAGGGACTCTAACAGGAAACTGGAGGATTTCCAGAACAAGTTCGCGGTTACCTTTGGGCAACTTGTTGATGCTGAGCGTACCCGAATTAACAAGCTCACAAATGAAGTAAACAACCTTAAGCTGAGGCCGACTTCTGGAACGACAACTCCTCAGTCTGGAGTCAACATGGCTAATGATGAACCTCTCCGTGCCGAGTTCAAGCAAGCCAAAGCAGAGCAGCAAGCAAAGCTTGAGGAATTGCAGCAGAAGACTTCAGCGCTGGACTTTGCAATCAACAATCTCAACCAGCGCTTCAACAACATCACTTCCAAGCATGTAGCCGACATCTTGATCCAGCAGCTGCTTCCGGAGACGGAAAAGTGGAAGTTAGACCTCGAAGACTCGAGCCAACGGGTTGAGTCCCTTGGTAAGGAAGTTGATATGCTCAAGGCTAGCGTCGGCATCTTGGAGGTCAAGACTGCAGGGCTCAATGTGGAGCTTGAACCTCAGGCAGGAATGAAAAGGCGCCGAACTGATCATGATGGTACACATATTGAACGTCCCACTTCTAATACCGGAGTAAGTTTGCAATTATGCGAATCTCGACATTGTTTTATTCAGGTCAAATACCGAGTAACTAACTTGGAAATGATTCATAGCAGGCAATCAATGCACAATCCTAGCCCTACTGGCGTTCTTGTTCTCGTTGGTAGGAAGCTTGTACAAACATTAAAAAGCCAAGTATAACTAGAGCCTAAAGTAGACCCGTATAAGTCAAGACTCCCGGCGTTATAAGGCGTTGATATACCCCTTGAAGCGAGGTGGAAGATTACTTTTGGCAAATTGGCAGACTTGATAAAGCTGCCTCAAGCCGAGTGGATTTCACCTTAACAACTAGGATAGGGAGGGAAAGACGGGAAAAGCATGACGACACACGCAAAGTGTAATGATAGCCCAAGTATATGCAGCTTTGTAAGCTGGCGAGGATACTAAGAGGAAGTGTTGATAAACACTGGAATGCAAATTACGTAAGCAAGGATTATAGAGATTGACCAACACTGGTGGTGATAGGAGGTGGTAGATGTTGGGCATTGATGCAGAGAAAGAAACATGCTGAGATCTTGCAAAGAGGTGAGGAACATTGATACGTTACTGCTGGAAAAAACATGGAGGATTACAGTACATCTTTGTGCTATGACAATTTGGTCGAGCATTTATCAGAAAATCATGTGTATCAATGCCAGCAAACTAAAGATAGAGACATGACGACCAAAAGCTTACCTATGGTTCCAAAGTCTTGGCATAACGAACGGTGACAGTTGACCCCCTTGTCGCGGATCTTTTCGTGCTGGGGGATGAAGATCTCCCGGGTCTCACACACTTTTTCCGCCCAAGTGCCGCGCCGGGCTGAGCCTGCAGTCACAGGGCTTGGTGGAGCTTGTTCCATGTTTCGCTGTAGCCCTGTGCGGCACGGCGCTACCTACCTGTGTAGTGTCCGGGTATCTATAGAGGTCATCAACCTGAGCCTTTGCGTTTCTTGGAAATGTTGCATGAAAGCAAGTGAAAGAAGTAAAAGAGACAGAGGAATAGGCAGAGCAATAGACAGGTTGTGCTCTCACAGTGAACATGGGCGAGCTCATGCTCGTATGCATCATGTATGGATTACCTACCACAGGGCGTGCGTTGAAACGTGCCCAAGAACCATGGACCTAAGCTGTCCATGCAGCAGCCTACAGGGGAAGCTGGTATGTTAAGTAGTGTTCTGAACCAAGCTTCTATTTGCGATCAGAATATGATATTAATGGAGGAATCAGCTCGTATGATAAAAAAAAAATATCACTCGAGACTCGAGCTCATCAAGGTATCATGAGGTTTTTAACCTGCTGCAGAGTCCAAGATGAATGACGGGAATATCGTCTCTGCACCTGCACGCAAGCTCATGTTCTGTCCAGCAATGCTTGGAAGCGGGGCAAGCAAAATGGTAAAAGTAGGAGCGCAAGCTCTAACCTCCGGCTACATCTACCTGTCTTTTTTTTTTTTTTTTTTTTTTTTTTTTTTTCGACGGACCTACTGAGTGTATGTATATGCAGCTATATGTAGTAGGTAATCATACAAAAGTTTCGCATGGTCACGTACTTGATTTCTGTCCAAATACTTCTTCCCGTTTCATCGTCCAGGCTGCTCTCCAACCACTCTATTCTATTTTTCAGGGACTGGCAATCACAAAGGTTTTCTGGGCCTGTGTCTCAGTCACGAAACACAAGCCGGTGAGTTGACTTGTTGGAACACAAAGCCGCCGCTTGTACCTACCTAGCTGTTAGGGTGCAGTGTGGTCCACTCATCAAGCGCGATGCCGCACAGTGGCCGCTCAACCGCTACTACCGCTCCATCTCCGCAAGAATCTCTCCGCCCGGATACGACCCGACCGCTAATCACCCACGCTTTTCCACCGCAGTCCCAGGGCATTCCTGCCAATCTCTAACAACCCGCACCCAACAAGGGGAAGCTCCAGACGACGAGATCCGACTCGACTTTTACAGGAACGGCTGACATTCCGTTCTACACCCGCAACTCGTCCACTGAACACCACTCATCCATCATCCTAGGTTAGTACACTACACTACAGACCTACGACGGCACCTCAAGTGACGGGCAGCCCAGGCCAGGTCCCGTCCTCCACCCACCCACACCACCACCACCACCACCGTCGAAGGCACGGGTACAGTACTGCTAGTGGCCACGGCTACCTTAGCATCGGATGCCTGACCACCACCACCACACACACCCTTCTTCACCCGTCACGCCTTGACCCTGCTGCCCTTTCTACTTTGTCCCCGTTTCCACTCTCCACTTCCATTCAGGTTCCATTCCATTGCTCGCGCCCTCAAGCAATCCCACCTCGGCTTCCCTGCGCAACACCATCCGAACTCCGGCCCTCTTTCGCGATACCTACATAGCTTGGCTGCCAGCTAAACCGTCTTCAGTACCTCCCGTCTTCGTACATCGTTGCTGTCGGATACACCATTGCTCTGCGCCCAGTCCCATAACCATCCGCCATCTCGAACGCGTTACTACCAAACGACAACGATTCCATCTGCACCTTCGGGCCGCCCCCCTTCGCACCTGCTCGGGCACGCTCACCGATCGATTGCCGTCGTTGCATGCGCTGCCATCGTTTTCGGTTGCCCCCGACTGAGACATGCGCCCTTGTCTGTTGTGCCAAACCAAGGTTGTCGATAGGAGGCTAGGATAGAGAAGCTAGGAACTACAATCACGTCCCCTTCGACGGGCGGACAAATGAGGAGGAAACAGGCTGGTGTTGGCGATCCACATACGACAACACCGCGATAGCGACCGGACGGCCGCTTGATACATCTTGGCCATTGCTGCCACGCGCACGCGTCTCTCACAGCAGAGAGAATCGCAAACACAAGAGTACTGGTTAGGTATGCCATTTTCCTCCTGGTGACCAAGTGTGGTCGTAGTGTTGCGTCTGCTCCGTGTTTGGTGTTTCAATTGCCCCGCAAACCCAAAGTTGGGATCAAGACCCCAAGGGGACGTCGCAAAGCTGCCATCCCGCTTGTCGCGTTGGCCATTTCTCCATGTAGACAAGTACCCCCGACGACTACGTTTTACTTTTGCTTTTCTTGGGCATGAGGGTGACGCATGCTGATTGTGCCAATTGCCAGACCCTATTGAAAAGCCGTCTATTGTGAAGGTCGACCCGTCTTCCATCCCATCTTCGTCGCATGTTTTGCATTGAATAGCTATTCATACAACCCCACGCATACCGCACAATAGCAATCCTGAGTGCTTTCTGAACCCAGCTTGAAAACCGGACCTGACCTATCTACGCTTTATTCTACTTCGACCCAGTCTACAACTCCTTCACAACGTCAACGAACGTCAGCTACGAAACTCAAGACGCAACATTTCTGCAGCCCTCGTTCGCCGCGCCTAATCTTCAACCCCTACAACAAAGAGACGAGTAATACGGCATACCCCGACTTGCGCTGTTACGGAGTCCAATGACCCAACGATGAAAAGAACGATGGAAGGAGCGGAAAAGAATGCAGACAAATTGGCTAAGCGTATATTACCACAACGTCCGCACCACCTTACACTGTCCCTGACGGACAAGTACCCCGAGCCTGCTGGGTTTTGGTACACGGGAAAGAGTCACAGACTGCAGTACACCACCTTTCTCTCAGACTGCGATCGCGGCATCCTCATCACGCGGCCTTCGTATGACATTTGCGAGGAGCCCGCGAGCGCCCCCAGCGCTATGCCTCCAAAACCGACTCTCCTGAACGGGGAGGCCAAGAAGAAACTTTCATTGAAGGACTATCAGCGGAGGAATCAGTCACCCCAGGACCCTTCGGCTACACCAAGGCTGGATGCCAAGTCTGAGTCCAAGGGTGACACAAAAGTGAATGGGACAGTGGAACGAAATGCACCGGTAAAAGAGAACGTCAAGCCCGACGATGCCAAGGCAAAGACGAAGCCTGTCAGGACGGAGGGAGGGGAGTCAGAAAAACCCCGTATCACGGTCAATGGAGACAGTATGCGAGGCTCCCACGCGCAGTCTCAGGTCGAGCTCGATAGTCGGAAGCGGGCTACGGATACCGAACGCGACCAACCCAAGCGTCCCAGGACGGATACTTATTACGATACGTCACGTCTTCCCCCGAAGCCCGAGGTACCACGAAATCGCCTGAGCGACAGAAGCGACAAGGATATCAAAAAGGAATCTCTACATCTGACGACCAACGGACAGGCCCGCACTGCCGCAGACAGGGAGCGTGATGTCAGCGCTTCACCCAAGTCCACGATACTAGTGAACGGGTCGAAGCCATATAAGGAGAGTACCCCAGTATCTCCACGGAGGAAGCGAGACACAGCGTCAAAAGCACCTGTGCCTGCCTTACTGTCGCCTCTACACCCTTCCTTACTCGCAGGCGAGTCGGATAAGCCAAAATCCAAGAAGCCGGCAGAAAAAGCCCCACCGAAGCCTCTGAAGATTGACAGCAGCTCGAGAAAGAAGTATGAAATCCCGGCGCTCTTGTCTCCTACTCTACCTGCGATTGTTGAGGAGGAGCTCGCACGCAAGTTCAAAAGCACACCGTCCAAGGGTGAGTATAGGGACATCAAGACCCAGCTGCCAGATTCACCTAGCATTGCGAGGAAGACCAAGGTGAAGGCTGAGCCTATCGAGGAGGAAGACGAAGAAGAGGAGGAACAAGAACCTTCCTTGATCGTCACGTTGAAGCTGAAGAAAGCCAACGCCAAGAGGGCAAAGGATCTCCTGAGCCTGCCTTCCAAGGCTGTAAAGGACGCAATGAGGAAGGAACGCACTGCTGCACGAGCAGAGGCTACCCCTCCACCTGCTAGAAAACGGCCACGGGCCCCGGACGACACACCGTCCGAAACCGTCGCTGCAAAACGACCAAAGTCAGCAGCAGTAGGCGACACTGTTATCGCCAGACCCACAGGAATGACAACACCACTCAAACCCAGCGCACCGGCCATGTCCCGCGTCCCATCAACTCAATCTCAGAATGCAACACCAGGGCCGCCTCCGACGAGACACATCACTCCCGGCATGGGCGAGCGCTCATCGGTACCGCCTCTGCCGCCCCCATCCGCCGAGGCCGCACCGTTCCGCGAGCGAGACGCCGAGTATCGTGCATATGGAAGTAAACTAAAGCACCAGCGTGACGCAGTTGACGCACAGCTGCGCGACCCAGCCAAGCTCAAGACCATTTCATCGGCCGCCATGACTCTGGAGACCAAGCGCGCCATGGTCCTCCACATTGAGATGGTTTTGGCCTACATGATTGCCTTTTACAACTTCAACCACTCCCGGATGATGGATCGCCGACCGCCCGATTTCGCGACGTGGGAGTCTCTGGTGCCGCATTTCAGCGAGCTGAAGAAGCGCGTTTACTCTGTTCGACCGTTCCGGATTCTCACAACGCAGCTATTCGCCGTCATGCTCGAGCACATCACAGCAACATTCAGCCAGGCCGACCAGGCGACGGCCCCGGCCCTGCTTGCGAGGTGGCAAAAGATGGAGCGTTTGAGGCCCGAGGTCTGGCATGAGCTATATGGGCTGGCGGATTTCGTGGATGACAAGAGAGTCAAAATGACGGTTGGGCCGTGGACCAAGATCGAGGAGGCGGTATTAAGCGCAATGGGCGTCATGAAGAAGTGGGCGGAGATTGAGGAGGTCAAGTGGACGCCTATGATTATGAAGCCTGAGATGGCGGCTGAGGCCAAAAAGGAGAAGGGGCAAGAGAAGGAGAAGGACCACCAGCCGCAGCGTGATAAGGAACGTGAGCGTGAGCGGGAGCGTGAGCGAGAGCGCGAACAACGGGACCGTGATAGAGACCGTGATCGGGATAGGGATAGGGAACAACAACAGCAACAACAACACCACCGAGATCAGCAGCGTGATCGCGAGAAAGAGCGAGATAGAGATAGAGTGAGGGACATGAGCCGGGACCGGGTCCGCGATCGCGAGCGAGGCGAACGGGACCGACCACCACTACCAAGGGAGCGCGATCCCAGAGACCCCATCCGAGGCGTCGGCGGAGGGCCAGGCCGTGATCACCCAGGGAAAGACATCCGCGACCGCGACAGGCTGTACAACAACGACGGAAGATCGTCCGCGAGGGGCCGAGGTAGAGAAAGGTCGAGAACGCGAGATAGGGATATTGGTATTGGTGGTCGAGATCCGCCGATGCGCTCGGTAGACTTGAGATTACCGCTACCGCCGCCTCCGCCTCATCATCATGGCTTGCCACCGAGGATGAATGGGTACAGGTAGAGAGGCTGAAAGTGGTGTGGAAGCCGATGGATGGGATGGAAGGACTAAAAGAAGAGTCGGACAAAACGAAAGGAAGATTCAGAGAAAGAGGGCCGAGGAGGAAGACGAGTGAATGGAGTTGCATATCAATGAATTCTGCATGAGGAGCAGCCGACAGACAGAGCCTTAGGTTGAGGGCTCTCTTATGAGGAAGGAATAGCCTTTGTTGAGAGTGAATATGTATTAAGAGGCAGAAAAATCTGGATGATTCCATAAAACTTTACCTACCCAACCAAGTTTTGACTGCCTGCCCACTGGCGGAATTTCGATGGGCAAGCAAAGCAAGCCAAGTTTCAGTAACAGACAGTACACAGGCACACAGACAGACAGGTTTAACAGTCTCCAATATGTGCACCCTTAGGGGAAGAGACGGAAAAAGGTCTCTTGCAAAAGTTTAGTGTTTACAAGCTACAAATTCATGGGCCCTACCTACATTATCTATCTACTTTCTTTACCAAGTGGGTGTGATCGTGGCCTGCATCATCGGGATCTATCTTTCTGGGACATGTCGAACCATGTACACACCCCCTTTTTCCTGTCTGTCGGTATGGTCTGGACCACGCAAGCTGTTTGTTTGGGTGTTTTATATAGGAGCCATCTTTTGTTCTTCAATGTTTTTTCCCTTCTTTCGAATCCATGCTGTGAGACTAATATCTTCTAATCTTAGAGGCCTCATTGCAGATGAAGAAAGGTTCGATCACAAGAGGACACCCACCAGTGGTTTCTGTAGCGTTATAAACCCTTAGTGTTATCCAATGTGGCTTCAAACGGAAGACAATTCCTGATACTGATAGGAAATGGAGGAAAGAGCTAGAAACTTCAATACCATAAAAAGGCTGAGAACTTTAGGTATACTTATAGGAAGAGGTATAACTGACCCAAGACATGTGCGAAGATCTAGTCGGATAATCTTTGAACGGGAGTAGCATTCATCTCACGCCATTTTGTTTTGTGATCATCACTGCCCAAATATAGACGCGAGTGTTTCTTCTACCCATGTTGATAGCCATGTTATTCGGATTGAATACCTTGCAATGCATTCCCTATCCTATTCCCTTTTCCAATTTTTGATTCACTCCGAGTTCCTATAACCACAAAGCTCCCAGCTTGTATCATATACAGAAACAAATCATTGACCCCGGAGTCCCTATTATGTACAGAAAAAAAATGAATTGGTTAATCAACCGCCAGGCTTTTGTTTTTCTCCTATCTTCCTTCCTCCCTCTCCTTCGAGGAAGAGGAGGAGAAAAGCAGACGTTCATTAGTGATTAGGTTCTTTTGAAACCCAAACCGTCCTTTTCCCTCTTCCATATCATCATAAAACGATTGTATGCCTTGATTCATGGTATCATAAACAGAAATCCCCCCCAAAAAAAAAACTTCGAGCCATTAAACATAGCTGCCCGAGCAAAGGGGGCAACAAGTGAAAGTGAAAAATAAATTCCTCGTTTCCGGCATCGTGGCCACAAGGAAACCTTCTTCATCATCCGGTCAAGTCGTCATCGTAGCCCCCTATTCACTTGCGAGTTGCAAAGTGGCAAGACTGCCCTCCAGCGCAGCGCGTAAAGACTGCTACCGGGGCAGGCTTCAGACCAGTAGGAGAGATGACGCCGTGATAATGAAGAGGTCGAAATGAACCCATTCAAGCTAGGCAGTGCATGAAAATGATGTCTGGCTTATCCTGGTAATGCAATTCCAAATGCATGACAAAAACGAAAACCAAATTCATGAGACGATGATGCCAAACCCAGCCCAAGCATCAGTCCGGCTAAGTCACTCGCTCATAGCCAGAAGGTGAAAAAGAGCATGACTCCAACCAAACCAGCGCTCATACCCGTCAACTCCTTGTTCATGGGAGCAGGGTTCTTGGTCGAGGTCGGCGAGGCGCTTCCAGCAGGCTGAGAAACCTCAGCTTCCTGGGTGGCGGCAGGCCTGGGCGCATTGGTGGTCAAGGTCTCGCCGATAGTGGGCAGAGCAACGTTGCCGTTTACCAACCAGCCCTGCACGCCGGAAGTGGGGCAGGCTCTGGTAGAGACGTGCTTGGGATCGTAGTCGGACCTCTTGATACCGGTGGGGGTGATGGTGGCCCACTGGTTCTGGAGGTTGGTGAAATCGGGAAGGACGGGGGTAGGGGTGCCAGCTCGGGTGAAACCTCCCTCGATGTTGGCGCCGGTGGCGGTCGGCTCCAGCTTAGGACCGTACGAGATCAGGCCGTAGTGGTTCTCCTCCTCGATCCACTCGTAGATGAGTGCACCGCTCCAGTCGTTGACCATTTCGGGACCGAAGATGGCATTCTGGTCGCCAAATAGGCGGGGGCCTGGCACGTTGCAGCCGGTCTCCGAGAAGAAGATGGGAACGGGGAAGTCCTTGGCCATGCTCTGCAAGTTGGCATAGCCGGACTCGGCATACTTGGTGGGGTCGCACCATTCGTACGAGTTAAGGGCGAAGAAGTCGACGTTCTCGGAGGAGTTTCCGCCGCAGGTTAGATAGTCCTGCAACATTGGACGAAGTTCGGCAATGTCGGCGGCCGAGTAGCCGATGGGGACCTTGCGATACTTCTTCTTGTCGCGGTAGGCCTTCATGTCACGAGTAGCAGCCTTGATGTAGGGAGCCGCCAGAGACTGGTCGGCCTGGATAATAATCTCGTTGCCGATGAAGAAGCCCAGAACGTTGTCGTACTTGATAAAGGCATCCATGACCTCGGCGTACCTATCATGCTGGGTCTGGTTCCACCAAGGATCGTTCTGCAAGTTTTTGTTAGTATCAAGAGCTCCTTTTTGGCGGATCAGGCAGAGACATACGGGCAAGATGTAGGTGTCAAAGGTGTCCAAATCGATCAAGGGGTAGATGCCGGCCTTTTCAAACACGTCCATGCAGCCGTCGTGGTTTGCCGAGGGATCAACATGGTAGACACGGATCGAGTTTGCGCCGAGCTTCTCCATAAGGGCAGCATCGCGCTTGCACTGCTCGGTGTCGATCAAGGGGTCAGCTGGCGTCAGTTGGTAGGCAACTCCTGGGCCATTGTTAGCTGGGATTCACGATGGTTTGGAGGGACAAGCATGGGAACAAAGAATACTTACCCTTGAGAAAGAACTGGTCGCCGTTGCTGGTGAAGAACTTATTTCCCACAGCTTCAATGGTGGGGAGGGCATGCGTGAGGCCGGCGCCGACCACGGCGGATAGGAATGATGCCTTCATAATGGATGTGACACGGAAAAAGTACCCGTCCAAAAGATATCGACTGACAAACTAAAGGATGGTTGGGGAAGAGGAAGAGGTAGAAAATAACTCTTTCACTTTTCCGTTCGCGGCGAGGAAGAGTGAGTGAGGGTGGGTTGGTGGGCCCAAACGACAAGTGAAGAGCCGCAAACGCTTCAGTTGGCGAATCTGACGGTTTCGTTGAAATGAGGTGGTGTTCCAGGGGAAGGTTCTTCCCGTCTCTTGCCCGAAGCTCTTCCTTGTTGTGCTCGACTCGCACTTGCCAAACTGAATTGGAAATTTGCGACAGCGAATGTGTGACGGATACTGTAACGAATGCTGGAAACAATGAATGGATGCTCCAGGTCCCTTTCCAATCGCCCAAATCTCCGTATTACTGTAACGCACGGTCGATCTGTTGAAGTACCCGAGCCCTTGGAGAGAAAGAAAAGAGAAACGAGCGAGCGCGTGGTGAGCTTAAAAGATTGTACGGAACATGAAGCATATGGGGAACGGCGTTGCGACAGGGTCCAGGAAGTCAAAGACCAAGAAGCAGGGAAAAAGGCGAACAAGGTTGAGAGAGAAGGCTGGACAGGGGACCCACCCCCTATGTGCGTAGCGGTACTAAAATCCCCTAACGTCCAAGAATCTTTACCACTTTTCCACTTGAAGCGATCACCACGCGAACAAGAGATCGGAGATGGCAGGCCCTTGGACCAATCCCGTCCATCCAATCCCTATCCAAGCGTGGTTACACGAGTAGTTGGATACATGGCGGACGGCCCAATTGACCGACCACGCGGCAGAGAGTCGGCCGCCCATTTCTTGGTTATCTTTTGCTAGTTTCGCCGCCTTCGCCGGTATCAGAAACCAAAAAGGAATGGGTGTTGCCGGTGAACCTTGGCAGAGACAACGGAAAAGTAAGGTAGCATTGGTTGATTGGAGTCTATTGACCCCCTGTCATTGGCAGGATGCAACAAGCAACAACGACAGAGACCTCTGCAGACGCTCTGCAGCAGCACTGCAAGCACCAGGCTGCACAACTACCTGGCTGGCACCATGGATGCAATGTCACCCCGCTAGAAGCTGTGGGCCGACCCGAATCCTGGTTGCTCCAATTGCGCCAATGGCCGATTGGCAGAGACCGAAGAGGGAAAATGCCGTGGCGGTAACTACATACTACAATATTGAAATTCAGAAAATGCCTTGCCAACGCCAAATTGAAGCCAGCGCCGCCCGTGTGCCGTCTGCTTGTCTAGATGCGGCATCCTGGCAAACATTTTCTGCCAACAGACAAACAAGAGGACTACCCACGGGACTGGTTGGGTCAATTCAAAACTTCCAGTCAAGCGCGCGGGGATGATGGAATTTTGCAAAGGTCAAGGGGGATTTGCAGAGAGACGGGAGACAAAGGAAAGGAAGCCAAAAAGCAACCCCACGGACAACGAACCTCAATCCCCACCACGGGGGCCCCCAAACCCACAAACCTGGAAGTGGGTTCCTTAGGTCGTCCGTCCCTGAATTTGCAGGGAGAAAGCTTCAAGCTCTCCGCCCCACCCCAACTGTAACAACCAGCCAACCACCGGTCTTATTGCCACTCCATCGCGCCTTTTCCCTTTTCGACTTTGGCTTGCCCGTGAAGCGGGGGGTCTGTCTCTTTTCACCATTCAATTCACGCGGTGGCGGTAGGCCAGGTCGTTCGGTGGGCTCGGCTCCGACTCTTTCTACACCTCAGTACACTACACCCGGCGTCTCTCCTTTTTTCTAGCATCAACAGAGAAACTCCGCCAGATGTACCTCACACCGACTGCCGTGCTTGTCATCAGATGCGAAATTCGGTTTGCTCGGTCATCGCGTTCGTCGTCCTCTTCTGGAACCGTCGTGTGTCGTGACCGAAGCTTCATTTCAACGCGTCGCAGTCCGTAGCCGTGATGCGATTTGAACGTCGGTAGTGTCATGTAAACACCCGTTGACCACCAAAAAGAACAAGTTACACGGCGTGCGATGGGTCTGGACTCCTTGGGCCTGAATGGATGGCAGACAATGCAATTGCCGCCGCTGACTGTCAATGGCCACTGCATTCGAATCAGAAACGAAACGTTTCGTTTCGTCTTGAAGGGCTGGGGCTGGAGACACGCAATTTGCATCGCTTACATGAACTTTTCTTTGCTTTGTTCAAGCTCAAACGGCCATCCATCCCTTGGCATTGCTTATTCCAACTCAAACCCTCGCCTGCGGGTCGCCGCCATCCAAGGGATCGAGAATGATGAATGTAAGCGAAGCCAAAAAGGTTTCAAAACTGAAATGCCTTGGAAAGCGAAAGCCTAGAAGGATCCTTTCTGTCCTCGCAAAGTTTTCCATCGCTGAAATCAAGCGGCTGCTGCAACGCGGCGCTGCTACCCAGGATTGTATTTAACCGGAGCGACGATGACGTTCTTTCGACGTCTTACCAACCTTCAGCCTGCCGACTTCTACACTAACGTCTACAACAACACATCTCACCCACACGGCACCTTCGGCTTTTTTATTTTTGGAGAGACTTGCGATGCTAACCCCTTTCTCGGAACCATGCAACTTTGCAAACGTCATTCATATCCCCTTTTGTTGCATGTTTCCCGTCTGCAACGTCGTCTCCATCCCCATCTCCATCCCATACCGATCCCGGCCCCGCACCACGTGCGTTGCAGCACTGCGCTGCGCGGTTGCTTAGTTGCAACATGTCAAGTACACTACATACCTCCGGCTACTGAGCTGCTGCTGCAGTGTACCTTGATGCAGTAAGAAGATCGGGTGGACGCACTGCACTGACGACCTATCTATCTGATTGATATCAAATGAATGTCCTCTCGTGCGTTCGACAAGGACACGGACAAGGACAAGGACAAGGACACGGACAACGACAACGAACGGAAACGCCCATTTTTTTTTTTTTTTGAACCGCCGTTCAACTCTGAAAATGAATGGGGGACTGTTGTTGTGGTGAGAGGGGTGCTGTCGAATAAAACGGGAGTGCTCGCTCGGTTGTGTGCAAAATCACTGACTGGAGCTTTCCAGCAGTCGTTTTACTAACTGCCAACCAGCCAGCCAGCCAGCCAGCGGACCTCATCGGACCAGCCTTCAGCCCACGATGATGGACAGCTGTTACTTCGTGATGTCCACAAATGAATGCTTTGACAGCTGGTAACCTAGCCTGGCTATCTAGGTATAACTTCAAGAGTAGGACTGGAGTGACTACAGAGGCCCCCATATCCGGGCACCTGAGCGTGAGCGGGAATTCGTGCCGATACACGCCAGGATCTTGGTCCGCTGTGCAGAAGATAAGGTAGGCGGTCCATACGAAACATACGCAGTATGTAGGTAGGTTGAAAACTCCACGTGATTGGCGGCTGCGGAAGACGGAAGCCGAATCAAGTAAAAATCATTGATGGAGGTAATAGTATGTACATACAGGCGTGGGGGATGATGAGGCTGGTTATGGCTTGCATATGCGGCAGCGGAGATTGGCCTTCCTCAGAGCTGAATGGCTAAAGAAGATGGGATCTACCTACGACAACCTGAAATGGTTTCAGGCTCGAGGTGAAATGGCTAAGAGATAAGATCTGCCTGTACTGTGTAACAACTGCATTAGTCAGACGGTCGATTACGCAGTTGACCAGACGAGTACCAAGACAGTGCGTGCCATTGGACTCGAGAACGAAGTTGTCTTTGGAACTCGAAGACATCAGTCGCCCAATCAGGAAATATTATGAGAAGGACAGTACACTGCTGGTTTGTTTGTCAACTGTGTATCCTGAGCAAGACATATATTAATTATGCAGTATTCCTGGTCGCCGCAATGTGACTTTCAAGTGTATAGAGTTCTCGTCAACAATAAACGAGTAATATCTGAGTTAACATATTCATTTCTAATTATAAGCCCCCAATATCGAATACACGTCAACTTATTGTAGAAACACCTAGACAAGTTGACCAGAGGTCTCGAGCTAACAAACAAAACAGTATCGGGCTGTATAGCACCATTAACATCAACACCGTTTTTCCTTGCTTAATATCCATTACCCACTCATCCATCCACCTTTTCTTTCCCCGCGTTAGTTCCTTCCAGAATACCACCACCTAATTCCAAGCAGGAACCCCGAAAAAGCGTCACCCCTCATCCGCCACTTCCATGTCTCACCCTTTACGACTTCGTCAAACTCGTCAGGTTCATCAGAGAACTAGTTTTTTGCCTTCCGTTTCAGAACTAGCGCTATCACCACCACCGACACCGCGAAGATTTTCCGTACCCCTTGGCCATGGCCGTGGTAGGTTTCTTTTTTAACCTCCCCATCATTTTCGAGCGGGGGTTCTGCTGGATGACAGCAACAGCTGCTGCTGCTGCCCCAGAAGGGTGAGCGTGGCTAGATGTCCTTCCAGGGCACTACTGCCTTGGCTCGCGGTTCTAGTCCCCATAGGTAACGAAAGCGTCGCGGCCGACATGGACGACGGCACGGTAAGGAGTTGTTTGGGATCGCTGGCTCGGCTGCTGGTTCTTCTTTGTCTTGGTTGCCCATTCTTTTGTTCAAGGCTGTGCCTGTAATCGCGACCTTGTAGGTTGTTCAAAAAGCCATGGGAAAGGCCGAAAGAGAAGGAAGAGGTGATGAACGAAAGGATGTGGAATGCGACCAGCGGGAAGCGGGCGCAGAGCCAGAAGTGGAGAAGGAACAAGATCCTGAATCAAGAACGAGGTTAGAATATGCTAAGGTCGAAGTTGTTGCATTAGATCAGAGCTCAACATCCTTTCAATTATCAGGGTAGTTGTATGCTTCCTTGCCTAGGTGCTGCGCTTGTCCCCTTTCTGTGGCTTGGCCAGACCCGAAAATAGGACCAGTTTTGTTATAAAAGTCCGTCATAACAGGGCAATTGTTGGGTTCTGCCAGAAAGATTTTGCTCGGTCTTATGGCTCCATGTGCCAATCCCTTGCTGTGCAGCCAGCAGACGGTGTCGACTAGACAGTGGAC